CTACGTACATACATACATACATACCATTACATTACCTTACCTTACATTACCTTACCTTACATTACCTTACCTTCCATACATACCTACCTACCTACCTACATACCTACGTACATACATACATACATACCATTACATTACCTTACCTTACATTACCTTACCTTACATTACCTTACCTTACCTTACATTACATTACCTTACCTTACCTTACATTACCTTACCTTACCTTACATTACCTTACCTTACATTCCATACATACATACATACATACATACATACATACATACATACATACATACATACATACATACATACATCATACATACATACATACATACATACATACATACATACATACATACATACATACATACATACATACATACATACATACATACATACATACATACATACATACATACATACATACCAACATACCAACATACCAACATACCCAACATACCACCACCACAGGCCACAGGGGGAGGGGGACCAGAAGAACCATACCAACATACCACATACCAACATACCAACATACCCAACATACCAACATACCAAAACATACCAACATCATCCAACATACCAACATACCAACATACCAACATACCAACACAACATACCAACATAACCACCCACCACAGGCACAGGGGGAGGGGGAAGGGCCAGAAGGAACCATACCCACCACCACAGGCCACAGGAGGGGGGGCGGCCAGAAGAACCAGACGATTACTGTCCACCCATACCCATTGGTGGGGTGGGGGGGGGAGGGGGGGTGGCCAACGCTGGACCATATATATATATAATTAAATACATATTTGTATGATATTGTACAATAGTAATAATATAATAATATAATACTAATCATATATATATGCACACTGTATATATTATACATACTCTCTAGCCATGAGACTTGGGAGTTACCTTTTGTTCAGGTGAACATGGAGGAAGTGATGCTCCTTCCCGAGGCGCAGCGCTGTCGTCGCTGTCGTCAGCTGGCTGGGAAATCTCCCCATCAACAATGGGAAAACGTCGGACAACTCATGGGGAACATCACAGGATATGGATTTTATATCTGAATGGATCCAAACACTGTCTGAGAAGGTACTTAAGCCTCCAAATTATAGTAAATTATACCCCAAACACTTCCTAAGAAGGTACTTGGATCCATAGGGTATGGGAAAAGAAAAACTACTTTCATGAAGGTTGAAATGTGAAAGTCAAACGAAATGGAGGGGAGTTTCCAGCCGTGCTTCACTTTTTCAGAGGGTTTTTGTTAGTTTAGAACCATCAATGGGCTCATGAACCAACAAAAATAACTGGGGGGCTTCACTGCAGACACCATCCCCCCAGAAATGTGAAAGATTCCCAGCTGAGTTTTCCGTGAAACCACAAGACCACTTCTATTTTTCCTGATATCCATGAGTAATTGCCTCAGTTCTTGACATATGAATTTTCGCAGCGAAAGCTTGTGTTGTTCCGTCTTATCCGTGGAAAATCACAATTTTCAATATAATAAGTAAATCATCATACATCATCTATGAATGGCTCATCTATACCATATCCATGTTAAATAGCCAGAGGGTAACACTTAGCATCTTTGCAAGGAAAAACGCAACAATACAACAAACATGAGTTGTTACTGCTGAAACTCGATCTGGTTGAAAAGATGGCTAACAGTTGTGTTATGGCAATTTTGGCACCCATTTTCATATCCATATCGTATTGTTGGCGTCCCATATATTCCCAGAATGGTCGGTGCCTAAAGTTCAACCGCAAATTTGGAAAACTCTGGGGAAAATCAGAGAACTAAGGAATATCCAGAATGGTAATATGGTAATATCCTATGATATGATATGTTTTTTTTGGGTAATATCAAATGGTTTCCAGAAGATGTTTTGAACCTCGAATTTGCAAAATGCCTATAGATTTGGCTTTTTCTCCATAGTTTTCCAACGACTATAACGACTGAACCGCAGCCATTGACCAACGAGTCGTCCAACCGCGACCCGCGATTTGCCGATCCGCCGCGTATCTACCACGGCCATGGCCATGGCTCAGTTGCCGGGGGCTGCGAATATGGAGTATGGCCAGTCACTTGATCCAGAAATGTCATACCCAAGAATGAAGCTTTATATAGAGTTATAATGGCTAGTATAGGGGTTATATAATATATAATGATATATATATATACATATATCTATAATAATGATAATAAAAACTGATAATAATAATAATATAATAATATTATTAATAATAATAATGATAATAATATATATATATATAATTTGTATATATATATATATATGTATCCCTATAGTAGGGGCAACTATCACAAATCTGTCATATCCCAAACTACAAGGCTTTTGATTGGCAGATGATCATCGTTGCATCCCAGAAAATATCACAGAAAAAATCCACATAAAGTTGGCTGTTTCCCCCATTGACTGTCTTGTAGTTGGGACTATATGGGTATACCCAATGATGAAGCTTTAGATATTATGGGATATTATGGTATATGATTACCCTCTGGTAATTTAACATAGCTATAGAAAATCACCATTTTCAATGGGAAAATCAACTATAAATCACCATTTTCAATAGCAAACTGTTAGTTTACCGGAGGGTATTGGGTGTGTGATTTTTACCAAGCCATAGTAGAGAAACCTATCAACCAACTAGTATGATGCAATGGGATAGGGAGGTTTTTAATGGCCCAACTAAACTACCAATAATGAACCTCTACGGATTGGGGATGATTTAGTATGTGGTTTACCAAAAAATATTCTAAATATACTATCCTGTGGTCAGGAGGGAGCGGTAAAGGAAGCGTTTGGGCAATCCGTATATTCCCAACAAGAGCCATTTTTGAAGCCAGTTGGAGCTACGAATTGAGAAACTCCCAAGCACCGTGATAGTTGAGATTTCAACGATCTGATGTACGTTTTTCTTTAAGGAAATGATGGGGCAATTATGTCAAAGTGATGTGGTTTTTTATCTTGTGGTCATCAAAGATCTGATAGAGGTTTGGGTATAGAATGGGGAGATTTTGTCGTAATGCGGATATTTACTTGGGAAACACCATTACCGCTTTCAACCTTTATAATTTATAATGGACGTTAATGATTGTTGATTATATTACATATATATATATATATATATACGATTAGTATCGGTTATTGTCATATTAGTGCGGAAGATTGGGTCCTTTGCCCGTTTTTTTTAGTTTTATGGCATAATAGTCATAGGATGTGATTTTTGGAACATCAACTACCCTCTGGTAATTTAACGTAGCTATTGAAAATGACCATTTATAGTGGATTTACCAATTAATAATGGTGATTTTCCATAGCTATGTTAAATTACCAGAGGGTATTGCGTCTGGATGCACCAGGAACAGAATGGGCATATCGTGGGTTTGAAAAAACCAACGAATTTCTCAGATCTGGTGGTCAGCATGTGGATGGAGAATTATGGGGTACCAGGATTTGATGGGAAATTCCCGCAATCAAACGTGGCAATTCACAATTCCCCATTGATGAATTTCCATTGAACCTCCACCCACTTGTAGGGGATTTCCCAGCTAGCCATGTTTGATGACGGAGGGTAAGCCACGTTACGTGGGGATTCAAAACGACGGTTGGATGGTCAAAACTTGGGGATTCAGCAAACCCGCTTCGTGTTTGGAATGCCCATGGTGAGATGAACATGACCATGTACATTTGGTGCATGGATGTTGGTGGATCTATGATCATTTTTTTGGAAGGGCCCCACAATCATAAGTTGATGTGTAAACCCATCAAACTGTAGATATATCTAATAGATGTTGGGTATAGATGGGTATAGAATTATGCGGGAATACAATTATCGCATTCAACCATTTTAAATGTATGTGAAGGGTTATATAAGTTATATATATATGTATATATATATATGTATATATATATGTATATATATATGGGGTGATTGTCATACTGTGTTGGAAAATCGTATGTATTATGCCTTCTTGTTCCGATTCCTGAGCGTTAACTTAATTAGTATATAGGATATATCCATATATATCCAGCACAACCCCGGTTAAGCTAGTTATAAACCAGTTGTTTGATATCTTTTTATTAAACTTGTTATCACATGGACAGTCGTAGTGGGGACAGTTTCGCTCCAGGTATGGCAAGAACTGCTGGGGAGTTCAAAGGCCCAGGAATTTCCAGGCCCAGTCGGGTGAGTTTTTCTTGGGCTGCCAGGGATGGGGGAAACTGACAGAAAGATGTGCAAAAGCATGCAAAAGCCATATTTTTTTTCCAGGGGTTGGTAAATGTCCTAATTGAACATCACCCAACTATTGGGGATATAATCACCAACAAATACTTGAAAGTGATGTTCAAAGTCACCAAAAAGGGACATTTACCAATCCCCTGTTTTTGTAGGAACATGATCAGGATCACGTGGTGGTTTTTCCTCATCTTTTAGTACCTCTGGTGAGTTCTGCCAGCAAACTGGACACAATCACCCGCCATTTATCCGTAAATGGGCCATGGCGTCCATAGCAAACTATTAGAGTATCAGGGCATAAATGGGCTCAAAAATTAATTGGCAATGATTCAGACACCAACCAGTAAGGAACAAAAAACAACATCCGAATTGGGTGGGGCAGGTTCACAACCAATCCTGGTTCAATTGTGATCTTTCAAGGTCAGATATCAGTTGTTCAACGTTCAACCCATACGTTTTGTGGAAGTGGGATGTTTCAGTGCTATATGGTTCATCGTGTAGTGCCTTTGAGATAGGGCCTGGGTTTAGGAACCCACACCATTTTCATTCTCTGGGCATGATATCGTGTTCCTGTTTCAAACTGGGCTACCAAACCTTAACAACAACAAGTCAAGTAATGTGGTAAACATAGTTGATATTCACTAATTATAGAAATTGATTATTGCTATTGACCTATCATCTATCCTAGTAGCTACTGTAACTGGTAACATCTAGAAACTATTTGTGATGGATATCAAGTATAGATAACTATAGATAATTATAGATAAATATACCATGTTAAGTATTTGAATTAGTTAAATCACCATTATATGATAGTATATGCTACTACTAATATTAGCCTATCATATTCACCACTGCCTCGACCTATCTATAAAATCGTCCCGTGCGCAAGTCTACGCGAAGGTGGGCGTCCTACCACGAGATCTCATGGAGCTCTATCAGTTGGTTCACTGGCGAATATGGGCATTGGACCTACGGTGGTTGCGAAGTCCTGCACCAGTTGATGGGCAAAATCCCACCACACAATCCCATCAAAAAAGCGGTGTTTCTTAGTTATTGAAATCCAACTGGTGGATTTCGCAACCATCCACAGTATCTATGGCAAATTTCATGGAATCATGATAGTAACTGGAAAAAATTGATCACGACTTTACGTCGCGACCTCACTGGAATGATGGGAACTATCCCAATATAGCCTTATTTTATCTTATTTTGAATTTAATTAGTTTAATTTACCCATATGGCAAGCTTTGGTGAAATTTTGCCGGTAACTTGGGGGAAACCGACTGATGATGAATAGTTGAATAGTTTCCACCATTGAATATTGGGTTTAAGCAACAGCAGATGGGGAGTTGAGCATAGAAATGATGGGTACACTTACTGATGACGGTTCAAACATGTTTTGCCATGAACGGGAACGTATTGAATACCCTCTGGTAATGACTAACAGTTTGCTATTGAACATGGCCCAGTCGAAATAGTGGATTTTCCCTTTGAACATGGTGGATCTTTCCATAGGTTTTTGTATGTTTACCAGAGGGTACTTAGATGGGCCATGGGATTAGCTAAATGGTTAGTAACTGGGGATTTGTTACCCCCTATATCCCAATTATAAACCATTTACTAACTAGTTAACTAACTCCATGGCCCATCTAAGTAGTAGACACCATTTGCACATCATCAAACTGTTTGGGTAAAGATCTGTCGGGGATGGGGGAAATCCACCATTGCCACCATCCCCCAGTCATCACAATCGATCGGTCGTAGAAAGAAATCCCCGTCCTGGGTGGTTGATGATATTGTTTTACCCACATCATTTTTTGGAGCTCCCTACCCTCTGGTAAACATACAAAAAGCTATTGAAAATGGCCATAGAAATATTGGATTTACCCAGCTAGAAAATGGTGATTTTCTATAGTTTTTTGTATGTTTACCAGAGGGTAAGTTAAATTAAGCAAATGCAAGTGACACACGACACACCACGAGTTTTCGAGTCGTTCCATAGTTCCATTGAGGTCCTGCAGATGCATCAGAGCCAGATGCAGAACCTTGGACCATGGTGCGATAATTGCGAGGGACAGAGGCTGATTTGGATAGGCTGGAGCCTGCCTTGGTTCCTGACCAAGTCTCCCAAGTTTCGGCAACGTCCGTAGGCAGGCGGCGAATGTTCCACGATTTCTGTTGATCAAACTCCCCATTTGGGTCTGTTTGAATAGCTGCGAAGAAAACAACATGTCTTGGCCCAGAACTCCTTGTCTGCTTTGAAATTCAATGTGGCAATACATTGAGCGCACATTCCCTTCTTTTTTTGGCACGCCCACTGTTGTTGTTCAAAATTTGATGAGATAATATAAACTGACTCAATATGATTCAATATGATTGAGTCTAGATCAATAGTTCTATCTGTATAAAACATTGTAAACCATAGAATTAAGCAAAGAAGTGAAATAGACATCTGGTTGGTGGTGTGGAACATTTTTTATTGTCCATCATATATATATATATATATATGGATGTCATCCTTCCCATTGACTAATATTTTTCAAGATGGTTATTGCACCAACCAGCCATGATATTCCCATTAGATCCCCATCTATTGTTGGGTATTGTTGGGTATTGGGTATAACCCATTTTTTTCAAAACCACCAACCAGGAGGTACTGGGAGTAACCAATGGTATAACCACCTCATGATTTGTTACCACCTCAGGAAAGCCAAATAGGAGGTTAACCTGAGGATATTCCCATCATATCCAGGAAAGCCAAAGTCTTCAAGCTGAGGTACTTCGATGCTACGGCTGAGAAGATTTACGAGGTCATCCACGGAGATCTCATCGAAATAGTCTACCAGCCTCTAGAGTAAGCGTTTACCGTTTCGGAACTGGAAAATTCACCATGTCTAATAGGTAAATCAACTATAACTAACAGGTAAATATATACATGTAACATGTACGTATATTTTTTAGATCTCATTTAGATCTCATAAACTATAGGTAAATCAACTAAATTTTGACTGGGCCATAGCTTCAAGGTCGCACACACCGTAACCTTTTTCTTACTGGGTACCGACTGGATCCATAGGGACTGACTGTAACAGCGCGGCTGGTGATTTAGGAAGGTGAAATAATTGTGTTGTTCTACCAGTTCTACTATGGATTAGTTCTATGGATTTTTCATGATAGATGTAAGATGATGTAAGATATGTAAGTATGATACGGATTTATCATTGCATGAATTGTTATCAGTCCCTATCTAGCTGAAACATTTTCGCTGCAAAACCCATGTTTGCCCGCATCGGATCCCGCATATCCTTTGACATGCTCAAATCCCTACGTAGGACTAGCGTGTTTTACTTTCCAAAACTTAAAACCCTAAATCCATAAAATCCTAAAAGCCTAAACCCTACGGTTTTAAATCCTAAAGACCTAAAGTCAAAATCGCTGCGTATAGCCGATGTTTTAATAACACACCTCTGGTGACAAGTATATGGTATAATACCATATACTTGTCACCAGAGGTGTGTTATTTGGGTGTGGGCGAACATGGGGTTTTGAGGGACCATGTTTCATTCCAAAGCCAGCAATGAATGGACAAGATGAAGCGATGAACTACAATTCAATGCACATAGATTTTTTTTCTTAGCCTATTTCCAGAATTGCACAACTGAATGCCAGATTGCAATGCCTTACATTGCAATATCGCTGATCGTGGATATGTATATATATATATATGTAATTATATATATATATATAGATCCATGGCCTGAGAAGGTACAAATCAGCCTCCAAATCATACCCCAGTCCCACTTCCTAAGAAGGTACGACTGGATCCATAGGGAATTTCCTCACCTCAAAATGGATGGGATGGGCAAAATATGCCGTGATCCCATATCGTATTCTCACATATAAATCCAGATTATCCCTTCATATTATCCATATATAGATATATCCATATATATCCATATATATATATCCATATATATATATATCCATATATATATATATATCCATATATATATATCCATATGATTATCCCGATATAAATCCATATTATCCCTATAAACCCTATATGATCCCTTCATGGGACACCTTCATCCCACGTCACAGGCGCTGCAGCATGAGAAAGGGACCACAAACCCAACGACCGCCCCACGCGTTGGAGTTCCAGGACTAGTGGATGCTTCCAATGGCATGGTATAGCCACTTTTAACTGGCTGAACATACCTCGTATATATATTTATCTATCTATCTATTTATTTATTTATTTATTTATATGCTCATAGTTTTTTTTTGTGATCCGTTTAATTGATATATATATATATATCATATCACCTTAGTTGCAGGAGTTATTTCATCTCATGTTTGGCGCTGTTAGGGCACGAAGTGGGGGAATTGCTCAAATCTGGATGATCCCCGATGACAGTATCATGGGTCAATCGTTGATTTGTCCAATGATCGTAAAACCTCATTTGTTCTTTTTATTAGCAACTATATATTAAAAACATGATCTATCTCATTCTTTATCCAATAACAATTAGAGTTATCATGATTTTTTTCATCCGATGGTTGACCCTTTTATTCACCGAATCTCGAGAGTTTTTCCGGGCGGCGGCTGCTAGGAGCCAATGAGTGGCGTCCAATGAGTCCTGACATGAAGAAGGGCGGTCCAGCGAACGGAGCCATGAATGGAGCCATGAGACTTGGCGGGAAATCCAGGAAGAATTGGGGAATGGAAGGGAATAGCCGGCCTGGTAAACATACAAAAAGCTATTGAACATGGCCATAGAAATAGTGAGTTTTCCCATGAAAAATGGTGATTTTCCATAGTGATGTTAGTTTACCAGAGGGTATCTAAAGCGACATTGTTTTTGGGCTTCCTGGATTTGATTGCTGAGGAATGGGATGAATGGTGCTACCATTCATGGAGGCAATGGAAACATGATCAACGGCGGCTGGGAGAAAGCCGAAGAGAAGCCCGCGCACCCCTGGTCCCCCGGACGAAGGTGGAGGTGGAGGTGGAGGTTTTTTCTTCGGGAAAATCATTTGGATGTGGGTCAAAATGGAAGACCTAGGGGACCACTTTTTTGTTAGTGTAGTTTAGTATTAACCATCCATAGCCATTTGAGGATTTTCCATAGCCATCTTTGATTGTATACTGTAGATCAAATCTATGGGAAGGAATTTCAGGACCCTAAAATAGAGGTACTGGAAAAAACTGTACCATTTTTGAAGCCATTTTTCAAGCCATATTAAAAGGGTGCATATCCCCAAAAACATAGCCCTTACTTTCCGGCCTTATATTAATGGTAGCTACCTCCAATAAATCGGTTCCTGTTGCATGGCCATTGATCTCATCTAGATCAGCTGTGAAGTATCTGGAGAGCTTCGCAAGAACACTTCTTGCCAGTAAGATGTTGCATGAGTTACCCTCTGGTAAACTAACAGTTTGCTATTGTTGATTTTCCCATTGAAAATGGTGATTTTCTATAGCTATGTTAAATTACCAGAGGGTAATGTATATGGAATTCTGGTACTTGTTTTGTGTAGAAGTCAAGTGAGTGGGTGATTGGCACATTGAACAAGTTATGTTATTAATATTATTGTCTTTCTTCTTATGCTGAAACCTTGAAAACGGGTGAAACCTGTGGACATGTCCTAACAGGATTTTATGTTTGTCTGGAAGTAACATTCCAGGAGAAAATTGCATTGATGCAGCTATCGATACTATCAACCAATCATTCCATGCTAGGCCGCTAGGCCGCTAGGCCGCTAGGCTTTCTTTAGTCTTCTGTCCTTCTGTCACCTTGTGGATAGCATCCCCCACAATGACAAGTGACACATTCAGAAGGGTGGGCATGGCTCGAAAATCCACCAGTTTGGCCATGGGGATAGCACAATGCTCCGTTTACGCTTGATATCGGGTACTAATCATTTTTTCGACTCGTGGCAGATTTTACAGCTGAGTCGACATGATTCATGAGCTTTTTCTTCATCAATGGGGTATATATATATATGATATATACATGTATAGATGCTGGTTGGTGGTGTTCCAAACATGTTTTATTTTTCCATTCAGTTGGGAATATATAATCATCCCAGCTGTTACTCACTCAATCATTTTCAGAGAGGTAGGTATAGCAGCAACCAGAATATATATATATATCACTATTATATATATATATTTATATTATGAATTAGTTATTCTTGTGGTAGTATAATGTAATGTAACCATTATTGGTAATATATACGGTATATATAAATGTATATAGAGTACATTTCTAGATGTGGTGCAAAAACAGCTTGGTTTTATAATTTTCACCAAGAAACATCACCATCACCTTTCCGGAACCCAAAAATGTCGAAATGGCGAAAGATTCATCGGTTTTGGAAGTCACCATGTTTCGGTTGGTTATTTGATGTTCTTTTGTTATAAAAAACAACGGGTATAACCTTCATCTGTTGATATATTTGATATCTATGAATTGAGTAGCCATATTTTTCTTTGATTCAGCTTTACCATGTTCATAGAATTGGATGATGGGAAAATTTTAACCGGAAAGTCCTATATTTGATGGTAAAAACCATGGTTTCCTGTAGATTTTCCCTTAAACCAATCCAATGACATGTGATATTTGTGGTTTGGATTTGTTCTGCTTCTGCAGCGGATCCCTCCAAAGACCTGCGAATCAAGGCAGCCGAGCGCTGGACCCGTGAAGTCCGCGGGATATGAGACTTGACGGAGAAAATCGTGATTTAATGGTGATTCTACTATAAAACCAAAGGAAAATGGTGGTTTAACCACTATAAATGGTGATTTAATGGTGATTTAATGGTGATTTAATGGTGATTTAATGGTGATTTAATGGTGATTTAATGGTGATTGAATGGTGATTGAATGGTGATTGAATGGTGATTTAATGGTGATTTAATGGTGATTTAATGGTGATTTAATGGTGATTTAATGGTGATTTAATGGTGATTGAATGGTGATTGAATGGTGATTTAATGGTGATTTAATGGTGATTTAATGGTGATTGAATGGTGATTGAATTGTGATTGAATGGTGATTGAATGGTGATTGAATGGTGATTGAATGGTGATTGAATGGTGATTGAATGGTGATTGAATGGTGATTTAATGGTGATTTAATGGTGATTTAATGGTGATTTAATGGTGATTTAATGGTGATTGAATGGTGATTGAATTGTGATTTAATGGTGATTGAATGGTGATTTAATGGTGATTTAATGGTGATTTAATGGTGATTTAATGGTGATTTAATGGTGATTTAATGGTGATTCAATGGTGATTCAATGGTGATTCAATGGTGATTCAATGGTGATTCAATGGTGATTTAATGGTGATTTAATGGTGATTGAATGGTGATTGAATTGTGATTGAATGGTGATTGAATGGTGATTTAATGGTGATTTAATGGTGATTGAATGGTGATTGAATTGTGATTGAATGGTGATTGAATGGTGATTGAATGGTGATTGAATGGTGATTGAATGGTGATTGAATTGTGATTGAATGGTGATTGAATGGTGATTGAATGGTGATTTAATGGTGATTGAATGGTGATTGAATGGTGATTGAATGGTGATTGAATGGTGATTGAATGGTGATTGAATGGTGATTTAATGGTGATTTAATGGTGATTGAATGTTTATTTAATTTTGATTTAATTTTGATTGTTTAATTTATTGGTGATTTAATGGTTGATTTAATTTTGGTCATTGTTCTTTACTTTTTCCTTTAATGTTTGATTGCCTGGTTCCTTTCCTTGTCCTTTAATCCTTTCCTTTCCTTTCCTTTCCCTTTTTTTTCCTTTCTTTTTCCTTTCCTTTTTCTTTCCTTTTTCTTTCCTTTTTACTTTCCTTTTCCTTTCCTTTTTATTCCCTTTTTCCTTTCCTTTTTCTTTAATGATTTAATGTGATTTAATGGTGATTAATGTGAAATGTGATTCAATGGTGATTTAATGGTGATTCAATGGTGATTCAATGGTGATTCAATGGTGATTCAATGGTGATTTAATGGTGATTTAATGGTGATTTAATGGTGATTTAATGGTGATTTAATGGTGATTTAATGGTGATTTAATGGTGATTTAATGGTGATTTAATGGTGATTCAATGGTGATTCAATGGTGATTCAATGGTGATTCAATGGTGATTTAATGGTGATTTAATGGTGATTGAATGGTGATTTAATGGTGATTTAATGGTGATTTAATGGTGATTTAATGGTGATTTAATGGTGATTGAATGGTGATTTAATGGTGATTGAATGGTGATTTAATGGTGATTTAATGGTGATTTAATGGTGATTTAATGGTGATTTAATGGTGATTTAATGGTGATTTAATGGTGATTTAATGGTGATTGAATGGTGATTTAATGGTGATTTAATGGTGATTTAATGGTGATTTAATGGTGATTGAATGGTGATTGAATGGTGATTTAATGGTGATTTAATGGTGATTTAATGGTGATTGAATGGTGATTTAATGGTGATTTAATGGTGACTTAATGGTTTAACAATGGGTTAACAATGATGAATCATGGGATGATATGGGATTTAGCCTCTGGTAATTTGTTGCAGTTTGCTATTGAAGCCATGGCACATAGAGACAGTGCATTTACCGTAATTAAAGATTGTGATTTTCCATAGCAAACTGTGAGTTTACCAGAGGGTATACTGGGTCAACCTTGGTCGGTAAAATGTACTAACCAGCTGAACATAAGTTTTTTTTTGGGGGGCAGGTATTTAAGATTCACCATGTATGCTGTATACTAACCCTATGGATCCAAATGCTTCCTTCTCGAAGGTACAAAACACCGAATATATCACCCCCCAGTCATACGTCCAAAAAGAACGTAGGGCTGGATCCATAGGGAAGTTGCATATTGGGGGATGGTCACAAGATCATTATCCAATGATTGTTGGAGATACAATGTTGTTTTAAATAAATAAATATATATATACATGGTATTCAATGACTTGATACTTGATTATGAACCATTCATGTTTTGGATGGTTTTTGTGTACCAAATGTGATTCTTGTTCTGTGAAGGATCCATTGTTGTTTCTATGTTGATGTCACTACTGATTTCAAAATATTATATATATATATATGTATATATGATTATGCATATAGTCTTTTTTGAAATAATTGCTTTGGGGTACTAAACTTTTGATTCATCAAAGCATGCGACCTTTTGCTTCTGTTGGTTGGTTTCAGTTTCATTACTCTGAGTGTGACCGGTCAATTCCCCACAATTAAATCAGCAATAGAAATTCATGGGTTTCCCAAGGAAAGTGCCTAGAAATGATGGATTTTCCATAGCTACATTAGTTGTAATTTTACTGGAGGCCATAAACCTCAACACGGCGAAGATTACCACAATGTGCCCCCCCGGTTATGTTTGTCGGTTTATGAACCCCATGAATACTATAGAAGTTCTAAGAAGTATCATAAACATTCATAAACATTCATCGTTATTGGAGTCATAAACAATAGTTTTCGGATCCAACTTTGCACCAACGTTAGCACCAACGTTAGCACCAACGTTAGCACCAACGTTAGCTATCGTCTTTTGGGGGGCACTGGCGGCGCAACGGGCCAATCGGCGAGAAGATCTCAGGACAAGAGACCCCAAACTGCAGACTGGAATCTCGGCGGTCGGCTTGGATTTCTCCGAACCATTGGTGGTTTCCATAGTCATGGAGGTACCCCAATATCAATGGGAATTTGAGGATCCTAAAATGGAGGTACCTACCATATATAAGGCCTATGTAAGGCCTATGTAAGTGAATATCACCACAAAATATGGCCTTATATGGTACAGTACCTCCATTTTAGGATCCTGGAATTCCCATTGACAATAGCTGGATGGTTTATTATCAAAGGACGTTGGGAAGCAATCTTCCGAGTTACGGATGACTTGTACCTGTAACAATACACTCAATGAAGGGTGGTGTGAGACTTTGCATCACATAAGAATACACTCAATGAAGGGTGGTGTGAGACTGTGGTGTGAGACTGTGGTGTGAGACTTGACATCACATAACAATACACTCAATGAAGGGCGGTGCGAGACTTTACATCACATAAGAATACACTCAATAAAGTGTGGTGTGAGACTGTGGTGTGAGACTTGACATCACATAACAATACGCTCAATGAAGGGTGGTGTGAGACTGTGGTGTGAGACTTGACTTGGGGAGGAAGCCGGAGAACGAAACCGTGTGTTTTTCTGTGTAAAGTGGCTACAGCCGGCGATGAAAGGTACCTCTTGTGTGCGGCGGGTGCGGCTGGGGTCGTTCCGAGCGTAATGGGTTCCTCCTTTGTGTTCCGCCACGAGTGGTTGTTCCTATGTGCGTAGTTCTTTGCGTGTTTTGAATCTGTGGTTGCAGATCGCATTGGAATGGCTGCATAATTGTTGTCAGCTGGTGTTGCCATGTGCGTAGAGAGATTCAGGTTTGCTACATGATGCTGCAAAATGCATTGTAATGGCTGCATGAATGTTGCATGGGGCTTGTGTTGGGGAGGAAGCGGAGCACGAAACCTTGTATTTTTCCGTATAGAGTGGCTGCAGGCGGCGTTGAAAGGTACCTCCTGTGTGCGGCGGGTCCGGCTGGGGTCGTTCCGAGCGTAATTGGTTCCTTGTCTGCGTTCTGCAACGAGTGGTTGTTCCTGTGTGCGTAGTTCTTTTCGTTTCTTGAATCTGTGGTTGCAGATCGCATTGGAATGGCTGCATGATTGTTGTCATCTGGCGTTGCCATGTGCGTAGAGAGATGCAGGTTTGCTACATGATGCTGCAAAATGCATTGTAATGGCTGTATGAATGTTGCATGGGGCTTGTGTTGGGGAGGAAGCCGTGTAAAGTAGTACGGGGGAGTGCTCTGTGCAAGCTTTGTAGTACAAGTAGTACTGGGACGTGCTTTGTGCAAGTCTTGTAGTACAAAGTAGTACTGGGACGTGCTGTGTGCAAGCTGTCTAGTACAAAGTAGTACTGGGAAGTGCTTTGTGCAAGCTTTGTAGTACAATTTTTTTCGGAAAAGCTTTTCTGTCTAAATGCATCTGTGTCTCAAGTGTCTGTGTGCAAAAACTTTCTGCGCCCAATGTTTTTTTTGTGCAAGAGACTTCTCTCTGACAGTAAGAGCTTTCTGGCGTGCAGAACAGCTAAGATGAGCTGAGACGAACTTCGAGGAGATGAGAAAGGTTGATCAGTGCTCGGATGAGATGAAAACAGCTGAGAAGAACTTACTTTGATGACATGTGAGAAGAGATGGGATGAGATGAGAAGAGCTGAGATGAGGTGAGAAGAGCTCACGCGATTTTAAGGTGAGATGAAGTGTCGAGTGCAAATGTCGAGTGCAAAGTGCAAGTGAAGTGCAAAGTGCAGGGTGTGAAGCGTGCACGGAAGTGTGAGGAAAGTCTTCGCTTGGCGTTGCATTGCCCCAGGGTCGCGCGCAGGTCATGTTCTTGGACAACAACACTGCAACAGCTTCGCACAAAGCACGCACGCACGGGCCTGGCCGGCGCACGGCGCATGCAAGTTCTATAGATGAAAAAGGTCTTATAGTATATCCCTAAGGCAACTTCCGCCCCGCCTCGTGCGGGTACTACTGGGTGTTACATTTTTTTTATATTCTATTGTATTATATTATATTTTATTTTATTATACTAAATTATATTATATGAAAATTATATTATATTAAATTATATTTTACTATGTTATATTAAACTATATTATATTATATTATATTATATTAAATTATATTATATATATTATATTATATTATATTATATTATATTATATTATATTATATTAAACTATATTATATTCTATTATTTTATATCATACTATATTTAATTGTACTTTATTTTATTGCATTACATTTATAGATGGATTTTCCCTTATAAAGCATCCATTTTGGGGTATCCCAACATGGAAGATCCCTTTCAGATGAATGATTTGGGGGTAGCCCTATGACTTAGGAAACCACCAAAAAAGTAATGTTTCACGGATTTCACACAGAAAAAGTGACGGTTTCATGTGAGAATAAGATGGAAACTGAACCGACTGAAGAATTGACCAAAGTGTCCATGTTAAAAACCTGCAGTTTGGTGATTTGTTCGGCTATAATATAGTTTTTATACTAGTCACGATATAATCATGGGACATATCAGAATCCATGCAAGGTGTACCCGTATCAACTCACCCAGTCATGGCACATACCCAGCTCAGTTTGTCAGGTGTGAGATACACATCCATTACCTGCCCGGAGAACCATGGAAAGTTGCGTTTTCTCCTTGTTTGTCCCATCAAGAGGAGCTTTTGGTTTCTGTCTTCGTCAGGTGATAGCACAGGAGTGAATGCATCAACTGATTATAGCAACTGTGCGAAAACACCAGTTATAGATAGAACACCCCCAGTTTGACTTATGGTCCCTACAGTTATGGCCCGAAATAAGTGAAATCACCCCATGTATGGTTTATGATAAGTGCATGTATAACCATTTATTACAATTTATTACCATTGATAATTGGTACACAGGGCTTTAACTATATGATTCCTATCCACTTGCTAAGAGGGATGATCCCTCAAAGTCCCTGCTACATCCAATCCTCTTTAGCTGGAGCAAACTGGCTGACCCAGGTACTAATCCCATTTAACCAATATCATCCCATTATACTCACATAATAATCCCATTATAATTATCCCATTATTTTTGTCCCATTATACTCACATTGTAATCACACATAATCACAGCATAATCACATAAGTCATCCCAGTTTTTAATCCCATTCTAATCACATAAGTCATCCCAATGTGTGTAGTGTTACCTCCAGTTTTTCGCTGGCTAAGTCGTTCCCTCGTTTGTCGCGCGGTCCGAGGAAGGCCAAGTCCAGCCCACGCGGCGCCCCGGCAGCCCCCAACGCCGGCTTTCCAATGCCGCCGGCGGCCACCATGATGGAGCCTTGGTGGCTGAAAAACCGCAGATGAAGAAGACGCCATGGTATTTGTCATGCCTGGTTGGTGGTTTGGAACATGAATTTTATTTTCCCTAATAGTTGGGATGATGATCCAATCTGAATAGCCCCTTTAATTTAACATAGCGATTGAAAATTGCCAAAATACATTGAACCTACTGTGGTTTCACCCATATGGGCATTGGACCTACCCTCTGGTAATGACTAACAGTTTGCTATTCAAAATGGTGATTTATAGTGGATTTAGCTATTGAAAATGGTGATTTTCTATAGTTACGTTAGTTTACCAGAGGGTATTGTATAGTATTCTATGATGGAAATGGATGGAAATGGTAGTTTTAGAAGAGAATCTTAATGTAATAATATACTGTAATATACAACTCGTAATCTACTTGACACCAAACATGGGTATACCATGTGTGATGTTTTATTTTACATTGTTGGGACCATCTAAAGATGGTGTTTACCGCAGGTCTGGTCAACTTTGATGTTGATCTCTGGGGTTGACATACAAAAGGATGTGGAAAACCCATGGGGAAACCCGTTTGGATTTGGTGATGTCCAAATGGTTGAGTTTTCCTCATCGATGTAAACTGTAATCTACCACTGATTTCGTTCAAATTGTTTGAAGGTCGCTGCTTTTCAGAGCTGGGCCTGTATAGTGAGGAGGTCGAAGCTTTTAGACTAATGGTGGGATTGATTAAACTGCCATTTGCAAAAATGAAGAATAATGATAAATCATTGGATTTCGGGCACACCCTGTTTTCAGCCAAATCCATTTATGGAGATGAGTGCAAGCTTTTGTGTGGGTCGATACACCCAGGTCAGTGGTGAGCACTGTTATTTGTTTCCATTCCACTCGCATCACCTCCATGAGGGAGATTCCTGGGGAGGTCGGGGTAGACGAATGCCTGGACTGTGACTCAAAGATCTTTGACCTTTTTAGCTTGAAGGTTATATAAGTATAGTTAATAGTAATTCTATCCCCACCAAATGCCATGAAATGCCCATTGTGGGGATTTCTGAAGCTCAACTGGGAGGATCCGCCCACGAATCATGCCTCCTGGATGGCGTTGAGGATCCAAACGCTTTGGCTGCAGAGCTGGAACGTTGTGAGCAACTTGGCCAAGTGAGGGCTTAGATGGGCTGAGGCTAATTGGGGATATGGAAAATTGATGATTTATAATGATTTATAATGGACAATCCTATGGGCATGGATGATTTACGGCTACCTCAATGATATTTATGGAAAGCCTCAAAAAATGAAGAATACGATTGGTCTGAGAGTCAAAATTCATGGCCGAAAACTTGCAAAACTTGAGCCGGTTCGTATTCATCCGGCCTGTGAAATTGGCTTTATCTCAAGTAGAGTGCTGATCATACATCAATTGTATCCCAATTGTATGCTGTGTTTGTTTCCCCCCTTGTGTCCCTTTTACCAGCGTCACTTCATGATATCCAACATACATATAGCGGATTGTAAATGGCTGACTTGTGAAAGTTCTGAATATCATTGATTATACATAGTCGATTCTAAATATCATTTACTACAGTCATTTCATTCACTCGGGAAAGATGACTGATGATTCCAGTCTCACTGGGGCAGCTATTAAACACAATAATTGATTATGTAACTATAGTTGATATTAATAAACACAGTTAATCAACTGTAACGATCCCAATTAACTAATAATTATTAACTAATTAGTTGATATTAACTGTAATGATCACAGTCACAAAAGGATATAACACTATAATAGTAACTATAGTTATTACAACATTCTTACTGAGATGGATCTAGTTACTTATCTCAAAGGATCCTATGGATCCCATGGATCTACTTGTGATCCCCCTAGCCTTGATTTTGAAATCGGAGGGAGGGGGACTCATTCTGCAATTGTTTTTTTGAATGTCTTTTTTTGTTGTGGTAGGTTGGTCGAAGCTGTTGATGTTCACTGAGCCCCAAACCTCCAAAAATCACCAAAAATGGAGGGGCAGCGCCTTAAAACCACTGGTTTTGGGCAAGGCAGTCAGTTGTGCTGTTTGGGAAGGTTTGGAAGGGAGAAGAGAGGAAATTCGTGAAAAGTAGCCGGGACTCAGCACACTCTAGAAGTGATAGGCTTCTGCAGGCACAGGCTTTGGATTAATGTTTCACATGAAAAGTGGTAGCCGAAATGCATGGTTGGGACAACTAAAAAGAATCCTCCCCCCCACTCCCCTCCCCCTTAGGTCCAGGGGGATACATTGTTACGAATTGAATAATGGATTATGAGTTAGAATCATCTCATTAACTATATTCGATATAACTAGGATAAACAGAATCATAGAATCATTATAAAGCATAGAATATCCCACTAGAATATCCCATATATCCCACTAACTCCTCAGAAATCAAAGCATAGCAAATATTATTAGTTAGATCTTATCCCATTTACTTAGCAGTTGATCCTTCTAAAAAAAATATGACAGGATGGTTCCCCCTAGTTATGTTTGTTGGTTTCAAATCCCCATGAATACTATAGTTGTATCTACCATAAAGCATAGAATTCAGCCACTTATATGTCAACTTACCCTCTGGGAATTGAACAACGGCTAGGTCTAGAGTTGAACAGTTGATTTACCATATATAAACGCTATAGTTGTTTTACCTATAGTGGATTATATATATATATATATATATTCAACTGCGAATGGTCCCTCAGAAAACAGTAGCAGGTGAAGCTCAAAGGTTCTCGGGAATATGGCTAGCAGCTATCCAAACAGATACGGCCCAGCAGTATCTAGCTCAGCTCTACAGCCTATTTTCCTTGGACAAGAACGACTACGATGGAAGCAGGTTCTGCCTTCATGAGTACAAGTGGTTTCACTTGCATCCCCTGGTCCCCCTCGTGATTTCTAGTTCTTCAAACACGACAAGAGACAAACAAACAAAACACCAACCAACACACACAACCGCTCATTCCACTGAATTGTTTTTGGTTTCTTTGCTGGTGTGCTGCTGCTGTTGTTCCAGTGCTTCTAGCCCTTGTTGCTTCCTCTTTCGCGAAGACCTCATATGTTCATCACTGACCAGTCTCCATCTATAGTTGAGGGTGTAGTACAACTCAAGTTCCTTAGTACCGCCCTTAGTCAGACTGTTGCTCAACTGTGCTTCTGAGTGCACCCACCTTAGTTTCAACCCTGTTGCACGCTGTGAATATTTCAGACACATAAGACTGAGGTCAACCTTACGTTCAGCTCCTTTGATGGATAACTCACTGGTTTGAAGTTTATCATAAACATTGCGACTATCCGAAATTAAACAACCGGGGACCTGTTGAACCATTCCATCAACATCAAAAATGTTCACATCAACACTGTGCATTTCACTCCATTGAAAACGTGCATGATACATGTAATCATCCCCTGCTATGGCAGCATGTGCTTCGGCAGCTCCCGGACTCCTACATGGCTTGTCAATTTTGTTGGAGTGCCACGTGATTGGAATCACTTTTTCAACTTCACCCTCAAGCAGTGAAAGAGGGCCCAATCCTACAAGTACCCCTTGGGTGCTGCTGCCGTCTCTTCTGTTTTGACCTGCGGCATCGGACCACGTAAAGAAACCTACAGGAACATGTTCTGGGATGGCATGTATGACCATTTTATGGTCTTTGCGAGCTTTGGAAAAATGCACCAAACGATTTGCTTTTAGCAAAACCTCCACAGTGCTGGAATTCACTTCTGATAGGAGTAATCCTACCTCTGCAGACAAGTGTGGGGCTATCTGTTGGGCACACCAACTCAAAGCCCCCAAAGTTGCCCTCAATTGGGACTTTTCGCGATCTGTTGTCGCTTCCTTTTCTTGTTTCCTACGCTGACTACTGACAAACACTTCTGGAATTTTCTCTATGTATGCAGACTGGCTCAAATGGTATGCACCGTCAGGTTGGAGATCCACTTTGACACCGCATTGGATAAAACTTCCACTTTCCCAGTCAGTCCACTTGAAGTGGTTCTTGATGTTTGCAGTCAACTGTTGCCATTCTGCGTCTTGATCCGGGCCAGCAAAAAGAAAATCATCCACGTGCCCAGAAATCATGCCGCGCAGTTTGCCTTGTGGCTTCCAGAGCCAAGTGCATGGGTCGGCCCAACTCTTGACAAGGCCAAGACCATCCAAGTACTCACTCACTGTTCTATACCACTCCAGTGGTGCATCCACGAGGCCGTAGCATCCACGGCGGACTTGAGTGATGGTGCCTGGGCTGAGTCCCATGGCTGTACAAATCTCATCGCATGGTATACAGTAAAGCTCTGAAGGATACTGACGACCCTGCAGAAAAGCGCCTGTGACATCACCTTTCCAAACCTTCCAGCGGTATCTTGCTGCCGCTGCCAGTAATAACTGTCGCGACTGTCTCGTCATCACTGGTGATGTTGTTTCGCGATCCTCATAACTGGGATCTTGATAGCCCAAGAGTATTGCTCTGGCCTTGGGCTTTGTTGTTCCGTCTTCCTTCACCTTCCATGTCAACAGCCATCGCATGCGAATGGCCTTCTCCACTGGAGGCCGCATGGACGCTGGGAGAGCTTCAAAAGCTCTGGCGGCAATGTAGTTCTTCACCTCCACTGCCTTGGCCTCCGCAAAACGTTGCTTGTCTTCAGGAGACAAATTTCTTTCGCTGACTTCCACTGCACGACGTTTGAGGGCTCCCACAAAGTAGCCTTCCAGATTGCTTGAAAACTGCTTCCATGCTCGGTTGGTCTCCGGCATGGAGATCTCCACTTCAACTGCAGCTGTCTCATCTACCCAGTAAGCTTCACCATGTGCTTCGGCACGACTGTGTTCACTTGTGTGTTCGTACCATGGTGACTTTGGTACGAGGGCATCAGCTAATGCAGCCTGTGTTTTCAGCTTTGATGTCGGTCTCCGGGAAGGTTCTCCTGGAGGTACTCTTTGACCACCATCATCCGTGCGTTTCCCAGTGACTCTTGTGCGAGGAGTGTTTCCTGTTGGCATGGGCGCATCTTCTGGTTGCTGTTCTGGTGGTGGACCCTGTTGAGAAATGTCATCAAACTCATTTCCTCCAAGGCCCTCAGTGAGACGCTGAAAAGTCCATGGTGCCTTCTGATGTTCATCTTGTGTGAGGTGCTCCAAGAGTTCTTCTCTCTGAGTTGCCGGGCGTAGTTGTTCTACGCAACATTTCACTAGGCGCCGACCGCGCACTAACCAGATTGCACTTCCAGGTCGCAGGTCGCCCTGCTCGTCCCGCTTCGTCTCTGTGATCAATACCCTTGCTGGGCCCAGAAAACTGCCCTGCTTGTGTCGTGTGATGTTGGAGCTCTGACCTGATACCTGCTTTCTCCAGTAGTATACTAAGTCACCTGGCCTGTAGTCCAGCTTTCTGTTGCCTCTTGAGTTCATGGCCTTGGTGATGCGCTGCCGTGCTATCCACTCAGAGTGAGCCTGCTCAGCTCTCTTCATCCGCTCGATGTTGTCCTCAAACTCTTGGTTGGGTGGTGGCAGTAATTGTTCTACTGCTTGTCCTGTCAGTGTTTGCAGACACCGTCCCATCTCGTCTGGAGCTCTGCCTAGGGCATGTTGGATGGGTGAAAACCCTCTGATGACTTCCCTGGTGTTGAAGGTTCGTAAGGCCATGCTCAAGGCTTCTTCTGCTGTCAGTTGAGGCTCTTCTTGAACCAGTTTTGTCATCAGCTCCTTGGTACCTTGGATGGCCTGTTCGCAGGCACCAAGCTTCCAGTGCGCTTCGCCTGGAATGAAATCCAGAAAAATGCCATGGCGGTTACACATGTCTTCGACTTCATTACTTCTAAAAGCTCCTGCGGGATCGAGCCTAAGGCTCTGTGGAAGACCAAAGTATTGACACCAACCCTCATGAAAGTATTGATTGAACATAGCAGCATTCATGGTTTTGTGTTTTCCTTTACACATGATTTTTCCAGTACGAAAACGAGACCCTTCATCGATAATCAACAAAAACTCAACATGTTCATGAGAACCAGGATGTATCCAGTGACCTCCATCAGCACTCACTGAAGAAAACTTTGGCGGCAGTGGTTCAAGTGTGGACATGTGCTTGTGTGCCACCTTATGTTTCTCTTGACATATGGAGCATGTGAACTCTTTTGCCAACTTCAGAACCTGTGCACTGGCTCCCCTTTTCTGGAGAGCTTCTACCATGTGTCTCACATGCCCGTGACCCGAAGCTGCATGCAACTGATAAAGTTGTTTCTTGATTCTTTCATCCTCATTTTTGGGATCTTGGGGGGTTTGAACCATGGCATGACCATCACAACCCTTATCAACATCATCATGTTTCCCCGCATGAACCAAGAATTCAGATTCCACACATGACCCGCATTTTTGGGGGTTCCCATGACGTTTCAAGTCTTCACAAACACACATGGTACCTACGCCAAAACCCGGGACCAATTGGGGTTCCCCATTAAGTTCACCAACCAGCATCCCATGTGAAAGTTCCTGACACAGTGCCGTTGCCACCCGCTGTGCAAATTCCTTTGTATAGTAAGCCGATTGACCTGTCAGACTTCCCTCGCATTTTGCGTGTTCAACACTTTTGGGGCATCTACATGGTAAATCCAACAACATGGACAACCTTTTGTGGGTAGTCATCACTTTCCAACCTTTGTGGGCCAACTTTTGGGTTTTGGGGTCCCGCAAATTAACTTGACATCCATTAACCACCACAATCCAGGGCTGGTACTTCTGTTGGATTTGTTGGATCATGGGAAGACGCCAAGCCAAACACTTTTGAGACCACTCCCAGCTCACATGACAACCCTTTTGGATGGCATAGTGCAAAACACAGCTAGCTCCCACATATTGACGCAAAACTTCTTTCCTTTTCTCATCCAGCTGGGCTCGCTGGTCTTCAGTTCGCATATTCAAATTCTGAATTGGTGAATAGGGACCACACTCCGTCGAAATCCAAACATGCATGGGTTTCAGTTGATCAATCTTTTGAAGAAGAAGCTTGACCCCTTCATGAGTTCCCAAATCAAAATTGTTCCAATGGGAGCATCGGACTGCAGCCTCCGGGTAACCAGCCAGTTCTTGCACAGCAGCACTCAAACGACTATTAGGGCTACAAGCAACCTCTAATAAAACCGTTCTCTTCTCTTGGACAAGACCCTGAAAAATTTCGGGGGCAACCCTTTGAGATTGGAGTTCTAAGTGCCTGGCTGCTGACTCGCTGAGTGTTCTTCGACACCCCTCGAGTTCTGAAGACTCTTGAGAAACTAAGGTCTCTGACCGTTCTAAGTCTGAGACTTGTCGACCCTCACAAAACTGCCGTCGGAGTCCTTCTCCTTTTTCCGTGGGCGCTCTGACTTGAGCTCGTTCACCTCCTCCTTGAGTTCCTTCATGGTCTCCATGATGCTGGCCAATGCCTCCATGGTGGCACTGGAACTGGCACTGGCCTGACTGGCCGAGCTCTTGACGGCCTTTGCCTTTGGCATGATCTTGGGCTGTGGCTCTGAGTAGCCCTTCTGCATGGTCACCTCGTTGTTGGTGTTGTTGGGCTCGTGTTTCTGCATCTCGAGCCACCTCGCCAGCCGTGACAGCTGAGGAGAACACTGACCCTCCTGTGCTGTGACCATCACCCATTGGCAGTACTGAACATCCGAGAGGATCTCTGAGTAGGTGAGGCTTGATGCCTTCCCAAACCCCACTGGGTCGCTGCCATCGGGCTGTGTGGTCTGGTAGAGCTTGATCATGGCCAACCTCTGCAGCTGCGAGATGGTCTCTTGACCAGTCACTGGTATCTGAAGCTGGTCTCGACACCATTTCTGTAGCTCGAGCTTCTTGCGGCTGACCTGGTTGAGGAGGATCACTCCCTGACGTAGCTCGGTCTTCTGTTTCGTGCCGTAGGAGATGCCATTCTCCTCGTACAGCTCCATCAAACGATGACGCAACTCCGTCTTGCTCCACTTGGGTGGCGGCTGCTCTCCCATCTTCTCGAGAGCCTCCACCAGCTCCGCTCGGTTCATGCTGTTCGGTGTCATCGTGCGTGATGAGAACCGTGTGGCTGTCGCTTGAGCTGCTGAGTTGTTTGCTGCTGCATTGTTGAGAAACGAGGTGCTGATCATTCTCAAATTCACTGGAATGAGTGACCAAAACTTTACAATTATCAAAACTGTGAGACACCTGATCACCACCTGACACCTTCACACCATCAACATGCTGATCAACCGATTGTTCACAATGAGAAATCACGGGGTTTCCATCACAACTGTTGTGACAAGCCTGACTCAAAAAGACCTCCCTTTCTCCTTCAGGCAAAGGATCAGAGAGGAGATGTCCCTAGACATGGTCAAGGAGACTCGGAACCGGCGTTTGGCAGGTTCGAGCATGTTTGAAAAGGTCTTCAGTCAATGGCAAAAGCTGGTGGCCAGTGACCGAGCGCTCTAAGGGTATGACTTTTCTCGCATCTAAGCCTCTCAGAACCATCAGGTCGTGCTCGAAGTCAATCGTGGCCTTGAGCTTACGCAGGGTGTTGATGGAGATCAGAATTGGCCCTTGGCCCCGATCCAGTGCGTGAATCTCCAAAATTCCAGGCTTGTTGTCGGCTGACACCTGGAGCTGAGTGGTGGACACGCAGGTGTCCGTGGTGGAATTGCCAAAACCGAAGGTGGGCTTGTTGTTCACATCAATCTTGGCAATGCGCTCGGTTCCGTACTTCTGCTTGTTGAGATCCATCACGGCCTGAATGGCCTCTACGGAGCCCAGGGTCTTGGTGGCTCCTCCATCGATCACTCCCAGTCCTGAGGTCATGGCTTCCAAAGTGGTCTTGCCATTCTTGGAGTCAGTGACAGCTAAGGCAGTCTCCTCCGTGAAGCAGACAAAAGGAGCCTCTTCGACGACATTGGCCCTGGGACGTTCGTCTCGGGGAGCATGCTTGTCAGGACATTCTGCCGTGCGATGGCCTTTGCCACATCGCAGACAGAGGTTGGCAGACACCTGTGAGTTGCCGCCAGTTGTCGAAGAGCTCTGATTCACCACCGTCTTCTGGAAGGTGGGCTTGTAGTACTGCCTGTTCAAGCGCATCTGGTGTTGGCGGGCTCGTGCATCTCGCAGAGTCCTCTTTCCTTGTTGAATCAGTGCAAAAGCTCGTTGAGCTTCCTCCTCAGCTTCTCCATATAGGATCTGCCCTTCTTCGTTCATGTCCTGAACATGCCAGGCCTCCTTGTTGGAGGACATCATTTCCATGTCATCATCCATGTGGTAGATCTCATCGTTCCAGAAGCTGGTGTACTTGGCATTCTGATCACGCTGCTTCAGCTCATGGTCTGGCCATTGAAACCTGAGCTCCCTTGACACACGCTCCACACTGAAGTCCTCCTGGATGGCCGTCTGGACAAGGTTCTTCTCTGCCGCTTCCAAACCGGCATCTTGCAGCAGATACCATCCTTGCAAGAACTCTGGCAAGAGCTCCTCAGTGTGAAGCTTCCAAGGTTCATCTTCAGGGCGAGCGTAAGACGAGGTGTTCCATTGGCTATAGGTGCTCCAGTGGTCTGTCCAGCCTGAGCCAGACTGGTGTTGGGAGCCATCCTCATCAGGATCTTCTCCATCATTCTCATTGATGGCTGCTTCTTCGATCTCATCGTTGCCCATGTTGTGCTCGCCCTCATTGTTGTAGTTCCATTGCCCATCAGCTCCCCAGCCTCGCCGAGACCAATCTCGTTGATCCCAAGACCAGGTGTTCCGGCCCCAGTCACGTGGTGCTCGGTGCTGATAGTACCTCTGAACTCGGGACAAAGCTTGGCGGGCTCTGTGGTAGATCTCGACCTTCCGGGTTATGTAGTGGTTCATGGTCTCATAGCGCTTCCGCTTGCTGGCCCGGAAGTATCGACTCAGGTAGTCGGTCATCTCAGGGATGGTAGGTCTACCCAGGCAGCTTCGCAAGTGCTGCATGAGGTGACCTACCCCGCCGCTGTACGACAACCAGTCGGGCCTTTTTCCCATGACATGTTTCTTTGCCGGCCCTGACAACTCTCCTACCAACCTCGGTCCGCACAGGTATCTTTTGTGGTACACTATGCTCTGTTCCCACTGCATACACTGTTCCTCATATTCCTGGAAGGTGCTAGAGTCACCGTCCCACTGTGGGACTCCATCCTTCGACTTGGTCACACCTAAGGTGTTCATTGCGCAGTTGTTTCCTCAGCAGGCTCTGGCGTGCTGAGTTCACTTCCCTGGATCCCTCTATTCAGAGGCTCAACGCTACCATTCAACTGCGAATGGTCCCTCAGAAAACAGTAGCAGGTGAAGCTCAAAGGTTCTCGGGAATATGGCTAGCAGCTATCCAAACAGATACGGCCCAGCAGTATCTAGCTCAGCTCTACAGCCTATTTTCCTTGGACAAGAACGACTACGATGGAAGCAGGTTCTGCCTTCATGAGTACAAGTGGTTTCACTTGCATATATATATATATATATGTGTGTGCCTATCATTTACAGTTGATTTACCTATGATATAGCTAATAATTCAACCAACCACCACCTAAATTACCCTCTGGTAATTTAACATAGCCTCTGGTCTGCTGAAGTAGATCAGCCATCTGCCATTCATACTTGGATCGAAGCCCAGCTGAATATAGTCTACCCTCTGGTAATTTAACATGACTACAAGATGGTGCCCCCCAGTTATAAGTTGGTTTTTAAACCCCATTAACCATAGTTATGGGAGTTATAAACCAACTTAGCTAACTATGGGGCACCACCTTGTATTGAAAATGGCCCATTTAGTTCGTTGATTTACCCATTAACGGTGGATCTTTCCAGGTTCCAGCGGCAAGTCTCCGGAAAATCCAACCCCGGAGGCGGCGGTGTTTGTAGTGCATAACCAATGCCTTAAAAATACGACGGCTGGGAATGGTAAACATAGCTATAAACCACCTATGGATGGGATCATGTGGGTAAAATAATAATAAATAATAAGCCACCCATGATTGGGAATGGTCTATATATGCCTTTTTGAAAATGGTACTGGGGGATGGTTAACATGATTGTTTTAAGCACATTAAGTACTCATTTTTCGGGCTTTCATATGACTTTATGTGGTTTTTTTCAGCAAAAATCGCAATGGGTTCCCCGTTTCTTTAGACAACAGGGCCGGAAACTGTGAAATCTCCGAACTAAATGGACAATCTCCAGATATTGGAACATTTGTGGAATCTGGAACATTTGTAGATATTGGAACATGTGTGGAATCTGTGTGAATTAGTAGGGATATATTGATATGATACATATATATATATATCTGGTCGGTGGTTTCAAACATGAATTTGATTTTCCATCATATATGGGATGTCATCCTTCCCATTGACGTTCATATTTTTCAAGATGGTTAAAGCCACCAACCAGATAATGAAATGAATGAGGTTTTTAAACCAACTATCTAGAACCCCTCTGGGAATCATATACTTAGAGGCTCATCGCACCTTTGTAAGTGGTTGGCCTAGGCCTAGTTAGTAGGTCACGCAGATCCTATATAATGTCAAGGTAGGATTAACTAACCCCTCCCGATTAATCAACCACCACTGCCCTAAAAAAAATGTAATTTAAAAACAGGTGGTCCCCCTGGATTAATAAACCGTTTGGCCTGGGATGATTAATCAACCACCAGTGCTGAAATCATTGTGTTTATCCAAAAGTTTCAAGTGGTTTCCTTTTGGTTTCCTTTTGCTACATTTAAATTGAAACCGCGTGAACACCAGAACCCATCACTGCTGATCATTGAAAATTTGGAAAAACAACTGTTCCCCATATGATCGATTTCTAATTAAATGCTTTATAAACATCATCAGTTTGGATAGCTCCCAAAGGGTACCCCCATGAGCCAATGTCGTCCATTAATAATACCAAGCTGTAATTAATCAGGGTTTGCCCAAACCCCCATGTCCCTAATGTTTTTTCTTTGGATTTGCCCATTCATTCCCAATGCCCTCCATAGCTTTCAGCCAATGGTTTTCAAGCCATATCCAAAATTTTATGGTTCAGGGGCCGTTTATTTGGGGGGGATACAGGAAAGACCTTACAAGGTACCTACCTTGTGGGAGGGGGGCGGTTGATTAATCCTACGTTGACAATATATATTATATACATATATATATATATATACCCTATGGATCCAAGTACCTTCTTAGGAAGTGTTTGGGGTATAATTTACTATAATTTGGAGGCTTAAGTACCTTCTCAGACAGTGTCTGGATCCATAGGGATATATATATATATGGGTAAATTATAACGACCTCACTGTTCTGCCTAAGCCTGGAATCATGGTTTATGTGAAATCATCTCCCTTTATGGCCGAACTATTCAGGTTAGTGAATATTATTATTTACCAAGTAATATATATATATGTATATATTTATGGGTGAACTATGGTTACGAAGCACTTTGTAAGTGGGATGATCCAAACCAAGTACCCTTGGCAATCAGGCAAGCTGGAAATCCCTTATTAACATGGGGTGTTTATATTTCGGAAAATCATCTAACAATGGTGGATTTGGGGAATATGACTGGGGTGAAACAACCAACAAGAGGGACAGTTTCCCTGAACAGGAGCACACTCGGCTAAGCAATTACGAAATTTTGGATATTTTTGGGGATTGGATCTTGGGCAATTCCCCTTTGGTAATCAAACATGGCAATTGAACATCCGGTTTATAGCTGGGAAAACCCTCGAACTCAATGGGTGATTTTCCAGCAAGCCACGTTTGATGACACCGGAGGGTAATGGGACAGAATGATACAGAATGGGGATTCATAGGATTTATGTAATGGGTTGCATTGGCTGGATCATTTTGGATGACAATATCATGGCGATTAGATTGGGGATATAGTCAGGGATGGAACCAACAAATATGGTAATCATTAAATGTGGGTCAAACAATAATAAACCATCCCCCAGTCATCACCATTTTTTATAGGTGGTATAAACTTACCATTCCCAGGAAAATGGGTGGTAAAAATTGCATTGTTTTCACCACTCAGAAAATCACGCCATGGAGTCGATTCCATGAGCGTAAGGATACGGGGTGAAGATGGGGTAGTAACCAACACTATGGAGAAGAAACATGATCATGGAAAAGTCATTTTTTGGATAGTCCATGATCATGGGGATATGATCATGGATCATGGAATAGTATTTTTTTTGGAAAAAAACCTATTTTTTGGAAACATGATCATGGAATGAATAAAGATGGGGTCTATAGCCATGAGAATAGTTCTATGGCAGACTATGGGAGTTTACAACAACTTTAATGAATTCATCGTCTTACATATGTTTACGAAATCGTAGCGTATGAATACATCTTTCTAGTTTCCTGAACTTAATTCTTACATATATTTACTCAATATATACCTACTATATTCCCATTGTAGATCCATTACCAATGAACTCCGCAATGTTCGACGGTGAAATCCCGGTGGCCACGGTGCTGGATTTCTCCATTTCATCAGGACGTGCCGCCACTCCCGTGCGTTCCGGGGTGCACCAAACGGACACTGGCTTCGGGCGGCAGGTTTCGACGTGCCTGGGAAGGAACGGCGGAACGCGGAACGATCTTCCGCATGTGAAATTTTAGGCATGGCAAATAAATGTGAACCGAACCAATGAGACAGGAACTTGATTTAATCAGGTATCATAATTTCTGTTCTATTTATATATCATAATATACTAATGTGTTGTTCTTCATTGAATTTTGCTGGATCTTCCTGTTTTAGAATACAGTCAAGTCGGATGACATGTCCCAGCATTGATTTTATTTGTCAAAGTGTCACTCTGTAAGCAACAATCATGATTCTTGCGCAAGTTCGCGTTGTCTTTATTCCTTAGATTCCTTAAATGTTCGAGTTCAAAATAGTTCAGATGGGCATGGGTCTGATTTTCCCTAACTTTGTTTAGTATCCACATCTGTAGCCACTGACTGATGTTTACATATAGGTTTGTTTTGGAAATAGGTACCCTACAATAAATCCATTGGTGTATCATCATTTTCCCTATGATTATGGCCGTATAGCTGGAGGGGGAATCCCTCCATTTTCAGACACACACACACAGCTATCGTATTAAGTTGGTTCTATATCCTATATTCCCATAATATCTCCATCGGAACATGTTTCATTCCATTGTATATCCCCATATAGATAATTGTATTTACATATATACACACACAACACCACCACATAACACATCCCTACATATTATACATATATATATATATATTTCTTCACCATACTGTAATATATCTCAATTATGTCTCATTCATACCCAAAAACAAATGGCTGGTGTCAGATCCAGCCACAGCAGCTTTGGCCCAGGCAATCGCGTTCCAGCGGACGTGCGGCTTGGTTCTGTTCATTTCATAAGGGGTATAATGGGAATATCATGGGCACTCACCATGACTGGTTGGTGGTTCGGAACATTTTTTTTTTCTCCATATATTGGGAATAGTAACCCCAACTGACGAACTTATATTTTTCAGAGGGGTAGGGCTCAACCACCAAGCAGATGAATAGAGTGGGCAAATGGGGATTTTTCAGCATCAGTTTAAAACGCTGCTGATCCCCTAGGGTAACCTAAAATTGATGTGGAAAACTCGCCATTTGCAGATGATTTTCCAGGGAAAACATTTGTTTCTGTTCACATTTATGTGAGTTTACGCCAGGGTACCAAATGAGGGATGAAACAACCACTACAAGCATTTGTAGAGCATTTAATCATTTATATCCATTTATGAATCCTTGCCTGATCTATTTAAGCCCAGCTATGATAGTTATGTCCTCTAGTAATTTAAAAGTTTGCTGTGGGAGCCATGGGCCATTTATATACCATTGATGGATGTTTTAGGTGATTTTCCAGTTCGCAAACTGGCAGAAATTACCACAGGGTATCCTTCACTTCACTAAACATAGATGTAAAAACCCCACCATCAATGTAGATTATTTTGCACTGGGAAACCATGGTTTTTCCATGTCCATCTTAGTTTACTTTTAGGGTATCACCTTTCAAAGCTGGGTATTTACCACATGATTTCCTTCAGATTGTCCCTCAAACCAATCCCTTGATGCTTGTTTGCACATTCCATCTACATGCTTTGCTTTGGCCAAATCCATGAAACAAACATGATAAGCATTCATAACAAACTACCACACTATCCAACAGTCAACATACTTAGGTGTACAACGCAAAACACTGATGTTTAACTGTTTAACCACCAAAAAAACGAGGTTCGTAAAGGAAGGATGATGTTTGACAGTTAAAATGTCCAGGTTTATAGAGCAAACACGCAAAATGGATAGTCAATGGGTATGGGTCAACATTTCAAGCGAAAAACAGGTTCCTCCAAAATGGAGATGTTCCAAAAGATTGCAATCTTTTCTGTTGGAAAAAAAACCTGTTTGCCCAGTTCTTTTGGGGGGATTTTTCACCTGACCACATCTTTTTGGTCACGAAGGGCATCTGTTTGCCCAGCTAAAAGTTTTTTCATGAACTCCACAGGGACATGTAGCAAGATGGGTTGCATTCTATGGCAACGTCACCAGGGGGTCACTAGAACTGATGCTTCTTGAGTGTTTTTTTTTTTTTTAAACCTTACTTCAGGTTGCTGAATGACATTTACATAGTTGCCTCCAAGCAGGACAGGACGGCAGTTGATCACTAGAATGGGATGTTATACCTGCATGGTTTGCTATACCTGGATTTTTTAATTATACCTGAATGGCGTGCTATTCCAAGCGGCAATTGATCTAATGTCAAGTTAGGATAAATCTCTATATTCGATATATATATATATAATCCTACCTTGACATTAATTCCTATAGTAGATATATAGTTACGATAAATCCCTATAGATGTTATACCTGGATGGTTTGCAATTGGTCTAGTTCGGATGTGATCAATGGCCATTTCAGGAACCGATTCATTGGAGGTACACAAACCATATATTTTTGGCATATGAATTTCAGGCCTATGTAAAGGGAATATCCCTAGCAAATATGTCCAAAATTATGGTGCAGTACCTCCATTTTAGCATCCTTTAATTCCGATTGATGTGGTCTGGAAGCCTCGTGTGATGCTGAGGGCGCAAGTCAGGAACCTCACGGAGTGTTGGAGAAGTCACACATTGGCCGCACCAAGGGGGTGCCTTGCCGGAACGATATATCATGATATAGGTGTATGAATAGGTGTATAATTATATAATTCACTAATATTCACTATCATTTTTAGTGAATTTACTTTAATGCACTACGAAAAAACATCATGGTTATTATATCCTATATATCCAGGATTATATCCTATTAATCCCTTTTAAAATCCAATGGTTTATGCATGTTTATACCATATATGTATAACTATATATATACACATATAATCATATACATATATATATATAATATACATATTATATATATATATATACATACATATACATATATATATATATATATATATGAGGGTTTCAACAGCCATAGGGGATAGGGGATCCCCAAATAGCTGGATGGTTTCATGGAAAAAGCGCCTCGATTGCAGGCTTTGGAAACATGGGGCCTTTCATCAACATAACAGAAAGGGAAAGATTGTCATGATCAAGACAAGACAAGGGACTAGTTTTGGGTCCGTTTTTGGCACTGACAGAACAAAGACATCCAGGCTATTTCACCTGGGCTAACTCCAGAAGGTTTGCAATTGTTGCCCGCACTATACCCTCATTTTTTTGAAACCTCCATTGATGTGCCGGGCATGATTGCGAAAAATGTCGGACGTCAATCTGGATAAATTTCATCATGACCTGTGACATCACTGGAATGATGGGAATTGGATGCGTGTGGCCGCAAGTTTCAGCAATTTTCAAGTTTAATGAATTTAATGAGTTACTATGTTTCAGTCAGGTTCAATGGGGAGAGGTATGTAAAATAGCTTTTTGTTTGTTTGGAGATGAGATTTTTCATTGGATCATTGGATATAGAATGAAATAGCTAAGGTGGGTCAGTCCAAAGTTGGTGGATTTAGACCATCGAATATGTGGTCATGTTCAGTGAACTCAAGTCTGCAAGCCGTCAGCTGTGATGGTCACATGGGATTCATGGGTGATGGTCATCCTATGGGAATCCTTATTGCCATTATAAAAGGTCCCTATGGCCTGGGTAATCCAACTTTACACCATGGCATTATTTGCGGCGAGTTGATCATGTCCCAACGGGACACCTCACCATGTGAAGAGTATTCCATGATGTTTTAGATTTATGTATGGTTACTACCTTTTGGTAAACGTTTACATAACTATGGGAAATCACCTTTTTTCATTGGTAAATCAACTATTTCAATAGCCATGTTCAATAGCTTTTTGTCTGTTTACCAGCGGGTGGAGGGATTTTCTCGGGTAAATATTCATCCAAGTCTCCTCGGAGGTGTCTCAAGCCAATCAGCTCAAGCTGTTCATGAAGTGAGCGGCGGGAAGAGCGAGCCGAAGAGCCGGCCTCCCGTGAAGAAACGGGATGCATGTGGAAAGCTTGGAGGGATCGGTACATGTTTCGCCAACAACTGCTAAAGATGATGTTTTTTTTTCTGTTTGTTTTCTTATTTCACTGGAATCATATGAGTTTTGTTGTTTTCTGCTTGAAAATGACTCGAAACCAGCTTTTGGGGCATGTCAACGGTTTGCTGGAAACTTTCAACCTCGTTTCGGATGGAGTTCAGGTCGTGCCGGTTAAAGCCTCCTTTAGGAGGACACTATCCAGCTACATCCAGCTACATCCAGCTACATCCAGCTACATCCAGCTACAGAATATGGGACAAACATCTTTGCCCGGTCTCCATGGTTGGATAACATTTTTTTTGCTATCTGGTGAATGTTTTAGTTGCCTTTGTTATTACATGTTCGCTGCAACCCTGACAGAGCACCGCGTCCGATTTCAGGTGGCTATGCAGGAAGAAGTTGTTGTTATTACCCCAATCAACATATTGCTCATAAGCGGCTGCGAATGTTGATCCCTCATGAAGATAAAGTTGATGTTATTACCCAACCAACATATTGTTCATAGGGGGCGGCGAATTTTAATGCGATGATGGTCATGATGTGATGATTTGATGATGATGATGATGATGATCATGACAGTTGTAAGTGTGGAGCAAAGTCCGGGTCGGGGCGTACATGTTTCATCCCCATGTTTGTTGGGATATTTTTTCAGCTGATCACCACCGTTTTTATTTATTTATTTATTTAGTTTTTGTTGGCTACTGTAGACCCCTATGTTCAAAAAACACATTGCAGGTTGATTGAGAGATGAACTTCCAGAATAACCTTGCTTGAACCCGAAGGAAGGCAAAACAGAACATGCATGAGCATATGTATATCAGTTTTTTTGGGGTTATTAAGCCTGTTACGATTTTACACACATATATATATATATTTATTTATTTATTTAAAAATACACATGTATATATTCAAACTTATTATAGGAATGTCCTGTATGGTTCCTCCAAGATTCTGCTGAATCTGATGGAAACTGCAGCAACCATATCGCGACTGGCCTGCGGAGCCGTGGTGACTCTGCGACCAAAACCGCCGGATCCGACCGTGGTGACGCGATGCGTTTGAAACGGAGGCAGGACTGGTGACAAGTTCCCCACGGAGAAAAGCGCGGGATGGGCGCTTCAGGCGTTGTTCATCTAGTGAGATTCATATTCACAATATAGTATGTTTGGATATGTGATAATCTATGTATATAATTACATATATATACATACATAATGTACATATATTCATTTGATGTCATCTACCGTTCTCCAATGTGAATACATACTGGGGACTCAGACAGCACCAAACCCATGGCTACCGACTTCAAGAGCAGTGGTAACTGAGACGAATGACTGCAGCACTAGAATTGAGCCATTAAACATACAAGGTGGTGCCCCATACTTAGCTAAGTTGGTTGAGAAAATTCTAATTTCACTATGTTTTGTGGTAGATATATTGATATACTTACTATGGTTTCTAAACAAACTTATAACTGGGAGACACCACCTTGTCCCCTGGTTGATGGGTTAATATAGGGACAAGCTTGGGACTTACACTAGCTAGTTTATTATTGTTTTTGTTTGGAGAACCCATAGTAGGGACTTCTGTAATGAGATGGGATAAGTGTTTTTTGTTTATAATGGCTCATTGTTTGTGTAAGCCACATATGACTGGAGTATACCCTACATATAACTGGGTTACAATGCGGTTCTTATCCACTGAGCAAGTTTAAAGATGGATGACCGTTCATGTTCCATACGTAGTTTGGCATATCTTGGCATGACGTGCACACACATATGTATATATACATATATATGTATTTACAAACATATATCTATGTATATGTGTGTATGTATTTATACATAATGACATACGTATACTAATTTATTTACACAACTATACATATCTTTGCTAGTCACACATTTTCAAGATGGGCTCCTTCCCCACCCACAAGGGGACCTGAACTGCATCGCAGTCCAACGAATCCACAGAGTCTTTGTCTTTTTTTTTGTCTTTTAACTCTAAGTATGTAGTACATCAGATTTCAGTGAAGTTTGTAGCTGCTGTTATAGTTTATTTTGTTTTGATTTCAATGAAATTTGTAGATTTTTAAATAACTCTCCGGGGAACTCTCCAAGATGAGGTCACTGGATCCGTCCTCTTTGGGGTGCAGTTTCCGTCCATTTCAGAACGGCCGATGCTCGAACAAAAAGCCAACAACCCTGCGTTTCTTACCATGCGGACATCTGAAGGGCGGAAAAAACCTGGGAAGATCTCCAGGTGTTTTCCTGGCAGAGTTTAATGGAATAATGGAAAGGTACAATGTGTTGCCTTTCATAAATTGGTTTGTATCATGAACTATAGTTATAAGATGTTATTTGAAGTTATTTGCGTATCATAAACCATAGTTATTGGAGTTACTTGTCACTTGTCACCAACTTGGCATAATTTGGCTATCGTTTGGGGGCCCCCATTCGGCCATGGTCCATCATTTTCCTGTAGACGGCCGTGCTATTCATAGGACCTTTGCCGGGAAATAACCAATGTTTTGACCATGTCTATGGCAAATTCAGCAAAGAAACATAATCCAACATTTAAAGGACATGTCCTAACTAGATGAAGGACCTTGTAGGGAATTGTTGCTTCATACAGGTCTGTTTCTCGAAAATCAAGATAATGTGGGTCAAACAATGTCATGAACCATCCCCAGTCATCACCATTTTTATAGGTGGTGGGGTTAGACGCAACGCCCACCATTTGCCCCACAACTTACATGGGGTGGGGTGGGGTGGGGATGTTAACGTTCCTTCAACCGCGTTCCTTCGACCTTGAACAAGATGTCTACAGATGTTGATGCTACGCTCACATGGGGTGGGGTGGGGTGGGGTGCGGTGGAGGTGTTGGCGTTCCTTCAACCGCGTTCCTTCGACCTTCACAAGATGTTGATGCTATGCTACGCGTTCCTTCGGCCTTGCACACGATGTTGATGCTACAGATGTTGATGCTACGCTCACATGGGCAGGGGTGGGGTGGGGTGGGGATGTTAACGTTCCTTCACGCTCCTTCGGCCTTGCACAAGATGTTGATGCTACGCTACGCGTTCCTTCGGCCTTGCGCACGATGTGGATGCTACAGATGTTGATGCTACGCTCACATGGGCAGGGGTGGGGTGGGGTGGGGATGTTAGCGTTCCTTCACGCTCCTTCGACCTTGCACAAGATGTTTATGCTACATTACGCGTTCCCTCGGCCTTGCGCAGGATGTTGATGCTACAGATGTTGATGCTAGGCTCACATGGGGTGGGGTGGGGTGACCTGGGAGTGCGCGTAAGTCACCACGTCCCATATTGTATGTTGCTGCTGCTTCTGATGATGACAACGATGATGGTTCTGGGGATGATGGTGTGATGATGATGATGATGATGATGATGGTGATGGTGATGATGATGATGATGATGATGATGATGATGATGATGATGATGACAATGATGATGATGATGATGGATGGTGGAGGGTGCATGATGAATGATAAATGATGAATGTTGAATGATGAATGATGAATGGTGAATGATGAATGATGAATGATGAATGGTGAATGATGATGATGATGATGATGATGGCGATGTTTATGATGATGATGCTGATGATGATGATGAGGATGATGATGATGATGATGATGATGATGATGATGGTGATCATCATCATCATCATGATGATGATGATGATGATCCCGCCGAACTCTTCCAGGCGCAGGGCAAATGGTGGGAGTTGATCGTATGGTTACCATTCCCAGTCATGGGTGGTTTTTGACATTGTTTTACCCACATTAGCCCTGGAATCCCGATGGGAATCCCATATTCTCTGGGGATGACCATGATGCCCAAATGTCGGAGATGTGACCCACATGGTGAGTATGAGTTGATACATAGTATGCTCGTATTTTGGAGGCCGCCTTTTCAAAACAAATCTGAATGGTTGTCTTGAAGTGCGGAAAAGAGTGACAAATCATTTGCCAAATCCAGATCATTTCAATGCAAATTCCTGGGTTACAAACATTTTTTTTGAGCAACATGGAGGTTGTTGTGGCGCAAATCATTTACAAGAAACATGCATCCCGAGCCCAAACTGAAAATGGCCAGAACACCATTTCCAGTCACCAGTGAGTCCTTATCTTTGTCATTTTATGTCTATATCTTTATCGGTGAATGTTTGTAGAATTGGGAGGCCATAGTGATCTACTCCTTGAAGACACCATCCCCAATTGAAGATCTAGAGAGCCAGGATGCTGTGTTCAGTATCAAGCTGAGTATCCAAATCGAGTCCTATAGTTTTCTTTGACCAAAGCCAAGTTTTTTGGGTGATACAGGGTTTAAACCATGGGCTAAACCTGTATGCCCTCCGGATGCTGCTATGCTGCTCGTTTCCCACTCTGCTGCGTAGCTGGCGCAAGTTGCCACGAGGGCCCCGAAGGAATTTCGGGGCTCACATCTGGGTAGCGACTTCTTTGGACCTGAAGATGAACATGATGTGTCCAGTCAAGGGAGAAGGGAATCAGCCCTTCAGAATGGTTTATGTATACTGTACTTTGATCATTTGCCCAGAGAAACATATCTTACGCAGCCGTGCCCATCGCCGAATGGCGAGGGTGACTGTCGACGCGACCATGGGAATCAAAGGTGTGATTGCATGCGATGATTGCATTAGATCTGGGTGAATTGTGATGACCTCATGTCGCAACCTCACGTCGCATGATGCTTAACGAATAGAAATCATCCAATGGCCAAGACGAACAGTCCGTTTTGTGCTTGTCGCTGCTGTTCTACTACGTCACTGGAATGATTTTTGAATGATGGACGGTTATGTTTCAAAAAACGTATCCGTATCTAACTCTATATTTTTTGTGACCCATTTTCAGGTCAGTGGATCATTCATGATTAATTATTCAATTTATCCAGCCTGAAAGTTACCAGCTGGGACATCCTGGGCCAAGCAAAACTCACGACTTCCATGAAGGATTGAAGTCTTGGTAGCCGGTGCCCACTTCATAGTAGTTGCTGCTTATGGCAACTTGGGGGGGTCCCGAATCTTGGGACAGGCTCCTCACGACACCTTTGATTTTGCGTGGGATGTTCCCGATGCGTCTCCTTTTTCTTAATCGGATCGGCCCCCGTGAGTTCCGGCGGCTTTCGGACATGGCACCACCCCCAGACCGTTTCGGTGCAAGCGCCACCAGTTTTGCTGCGATGTGCCGCGACCGGGTGGTGCCATGAAGGCCATAGCTGTCAAATATCCTGTGAGTTGAAATATCGGGGGGTTCTTAAGTCATGGGGAATCCCCAAGTCACCATGGGTTTCAATGCTCAAATGGCCTACTTTTGGATGATTTGGGGGTGCTCAGGGGCTACCCCGCTTTGGAAACTTCCATATGTCAAGAGATGCTAGCAGTGCCTGGAGAATGCCCCTTGCAACTGTCGGAAGAAGACAGTAGAAGTGGTTCTTTGGATCAAATATGCTAATCCCTCTTAGATGTGGAGGCCACAATAAAGCTTTAAAGCGTGGGTCCTCACGATTATCATGGAACTTCAAAAAGTTGGTCACACTTGAATCATGATTTCCTGCAAAATGTGGCCAGGTGGGAAACCAATCTTCAAATTTCTTGGGGCAAGATTCCAATGTCAACCCTGGATTAATAAACCCCAAACAGCTGTTTAATCGGGGGGTATCATTTAAGTATCAGATTATGACTATTGGGGTAGTACCCCCCTAATTAATAAACTATGGCAACTATGGTTTGTTAATCTGGGGTTGACATTACACATGTTTCCTTTAGGGAAAAAACGGTGGCTATGCGGCAAACATTGCTTGTTGAGGGCCCAGAGATTTGGTTGAACCAATTTAGAGACACCTGAAGCCATGTATGGTTTGGGAAAGAATTACAATTCCGGAGCGTTTATATCAATAGACAATTATATAGGTATAGAAGTATATATTTTATTTATTTATTGATTAAGGGTTTTTTATTTATCAACTACAACCACATTCTTCCTGAGAGTGAGACGGTCACAGCCGAAAATTTGAACAAACTTTCATTGATGAAATCTCGAGCCCTATGGATCGAAGTAGCTTCGAAGTAATTGGGATATGTTTGTTTAAATACAATCACGATGAATATATATATATATATACATATATATGTATGTATTTATTTCTTTTATTTTTTATTTATATTTAATACAAAATTATATATATATACACACATCTCGGGACGAGCAGTAGTGCGCGAGTCTCTTCAATGTTTATTTTGGGTTGTGCACCTGGGTGCCTGTGGCACAGCTGGTGACATCCCTTTTGACTCAGCCGGTGGTATTTCCAATTAGTTTGACTTTCCGCCATGGATCCTTTCTTTTTGTGTGTCTGGGACTTCGCACTAGCAAGGAGCACTATTTCGGACCCATACTTCGCCCAGATCTATTTGCAGCCTTTCTTGTTTTCTTCTCCCTCGCGGTTGGTGGGCCGCAGCCATGCCTTAAGTGCTGCAAGCAGCAGCTGTTTCTCCTTAAGACACTCTCCATGGTCCACTCATTTGGACTGATTCGTGTTTTGTGCATCAGCTGGATTGTATTTCCTCCACCAGGCCGGAGGAGGGGGTTTCCGATTGATTTCTCTTTCAGTCGACAGCGTGCCCGAACAATCTGGCAATCGCCTTGTCTGCTCGGCGCCTTGGGACATTGACATTAAGGATAATATTGACATTAAGGACAAGAATGCAATTGACTTTTGGCTCTTTCTGGCCGCATCTTACTGCTGCAGCTCTTTTCTGGTTGAATCAGTTTTTGACAGCGATCTGATGACCCCCGCTCACGCAATGGCTACTGGATTTTTCACCCTTGCCAGCCTGCTATGTCCCTCCGAAAGGGTGCTTTTTGCACAAGTCCCGCAGGAGCATTGTTTCCTTGATTAGATTTCAATCTCCTTCTTGGTTGACTCCCTTCAAGTAATGGTCTGCGCACTTAGTGCTAAAGCAGAGCTGGAGGCGCCCATTTTTTCTTTTTGTTTTATCTCTTTTTTGGGCGTGCACCTGTGTGCTGCTTGCACCGCGTGGCGCCTCTACACAAAGCTGCTCCCTTGCCTGCTTTTTTTGTGCTGCTGACATGCTTTCAACTGAAAGCATTGCGCTAGCCAAGAAAAAACATACACACATCAAATAAGCACTCATCATCATTTATCTCGATGGATCCAAGATGATCCAAGTATTTTAGTGACCATTTATGCTAATCTTAGGAAGTCTTCGGCTTATGATTTGGGCAAACACATCACATTGCCGTGGGACTCCGGGAAAAATTCGAACTTCGATCCCATGCGACGCGCTGACGGCTGCGCTGAGTGAAGTGGAGAAACCAAGCAGCGGCAGCGTGGCGCCAAGGGACCACATTTTGGCATGGGTCAAAATTTAAGCCCCAGAGATCAGAGATGATTGGAATGTTGTTTGCCATCTGGTTATTTTACATAGCCATGGAAAATAACATTTTTCAATAGGTAAACCATCTATATAAGTGGGCTTTCTATACCATGGCTATGTTAAATAACCAGAGGGTAGCATTCACCATCTCAAAAAAAATGGCATACTTAATGACTCGACCTCCAGCCATGGCAAATAATCTGACAGATGTAAACTGAGAAGTTTTCACCAGGATTGCCGGTATGCGTTCATGCTTGTTGATGAAAACAACTGTATTTGGTGAATCACTTGGACATTTTAGATTTTCTTGGTCTCCACCTTTTGGATGCTTTGGTTCGTCATTATTTTGCATACAGTTTGAATTATATACAATTATATACACATGATTTTCTTTGATGATCAATTCAATCCCCATATTGCCATCATCTTTTGTTCCCTGTTCGCCTGCATATTCCTTAGATTCCTAGACTTGGTTTGAGCGAAAAACCTGCAGGAATCGCACCCTATATTAAGAGTCACCATGGTTTCTGCTCTCAATTTTCCTTAGAACCAATCGATGCATCACCCAGTTGCTGTAAATCATTGAAATTTCCATGATATCCACAAGATGTCTCATTATATCCGCAATATATCACAGGTATACCACATTAAATCACCAAACATTTGATAATTTAAAATCCACCCAAAAATTTGAGAGTTCTTCGTCATTTTCCACCAGTCATCGAGTCACCTAGGTCAGGGCATCCGAGGGCCCAGCTTCGGTCCGGTTGTAGCCGTCGAAGCTTGCAGGTGGATTTCCAACGTTTGCAGAGCAATGACATCGTGGAGATCCTAAACGTCCTGGGCATCGAAGCCACGCGCAAGGTGAGCCGAGCCCATGGTTGGAGATGGTTATTATGGTGGTTGTGGATGTAAACGAAATGTGATGAACATGTGATGAAATGTGGAAGGTGAGCAATGGTTTTTGGTCATAGTTTCAATGTAATTTAAGTTGGCATAGATGGTTGATGGATTGTAATAATCATGTTTCGTGAGTATGCGTGATTAATTATTTCATGGCTTTGGAGATTAGAACTCTCGTTGGAATAGTTAATGTGATTAATTCAAAAACACATTTGCAATCTGTAATTTTGGGGAGTAAAGGACCGTGGACTACGGAACACCTGCTGAGAAGTTGATTTGGGTGACCTGTCGGTCCGAAAACCGAAAACCAGATGGTGGAAGTCTAGGGGAATTATTCACATCCCCAGTGTCATGGCCTGTGTACTTTTGACAGATCAACCTTAATATAATTTTACATATATATATATATTATATTTATTTATTTAACACTATGTAATACATATATACTTACTCGACTCGAACCCCCAGGTTCTACTTCTAAGTTAGATAGGACATGTATTCATAGGACATGTATTCAAGAATACATCTTGAGGCTACAATCATTTTGAAGATGATAGAAGAATCCAAGATGGGTTTGTTTGAAAAGAAGGTGGTATAAAACCAACCAGACTCAGGATATATGTCCGACAATTGGGTTCTCCCCGGCTCCCCAACAGTGGCATCAAGGTATACGGATACAACCAATCAATGTGGAGATAGCAATCAATCGTTGGATCCAGGAGTACTAAATGAGTCAGGGAATCAATGTTGGAATATCGAATGGGGATACAACGGGATAGTATCAGCAATATGATATAACTGGTTGCTGGTTTGAAACATTTTTTATTTTCCATAATATATGGGATAATCCTGGTTAATCATGGCAAATCATGCTTAATAATGGTTGATAATGGGAGAATATAACTGTTTGGAAGTTTGGAACCATGGAATTTTATGACTTTCCGATCATATTGGGAATGTCATCATCCCAACTGACGAACTCATATTTTTCAGAGGGGTGGCTCAACCACCAACCAGATATGGGTTTGCCCAAAATTGGTGGATCTACCTCTAACAATGGCAGTTTAAACGGGGCACGTTATGATAAACCAGAGTGTTTCGGGGTACCAAAAGTTGAGACATGCCCACGTATCCGCAAATCAAAGAGGACCGAAATAGTGAACCCAAACATGAGGTTTTCCACTTTCTGCTTCTATAGCTAGTGGTGGTATAGATTGCGGCTATGTTAGTCTATGTTCGCCATTTTTGAGCTGAACATCTTCAGAATCCTTCACATCATTTCACGAAATTTCCAGATGGTAAACTCATGTAAAAATCATTTTACGGAAACATGTCGCATCATCATTTCACTAAATTTCTAGATGGTAATATCATTTTAGTGAAACATTTCACATCATTTCATTGAATTTCCAGATGGTAATATCATTTTACAGAAACATTTCACATCATCACTTCACTTTTTTTCCAGATGGTCATTTAATTGTTGTATGATTTTACAATGGCTAACATGTTCCCCAACATGTTTGCAATCATATGGTACTACAACACTCAGACGCATGACCCGATGGGCCCGAGGCCTTGCTATTCCACGTGCGGATGGTCATCTCCTTCGATGGTTCCTATGTGGGGCTCCCGGTAGAGCGGTAGCGCCGCTGTCGCGGCGTGGGACAGGGTGAGACGGTGAGACCCACATGTGTGTTGTTCCGGGAAACTCCACCATGAACGGTTGAAGAAATCTATTTGTGGTCATGACCTACAGGATGAGGCCCCCTTCAGCGTTCAGCTGAGAGGCCTGGCCGTGGCTGAATTCTATGGTTTATGGTAGATATAACGAACTAGTTTTCATGGGGTTTACCAACCAACTTAATACCTAGGGGCACAATCCTGTATATACCATCACTTACCTTTTTTTTAATTGGGTTGATCGGTTTGACCAAGAATTCCCCTCAATGGTGAAGTTGGGAGCATCAAATGATGGCAACAGAATGTCAAGCACCAAAATAGTTGATGATTTGGGGATTAGAACATGAACTTTCCATAGCCCATGTCAGCTACAGAAAAATCCGGGAATTCCAGGGACTCCAAATCCGCAGCAGTTGGCTGGCCATTCGCAATATGGTCACATCAATGCTGTCGTCATTGTCGTCGTCATCCCCATCCTCATCCTCATCCTCATCCTCATCATCATCATCATCATCATCATCGTTATCATCATCACCATCATCATCTTCATCTTCATCTTCATCTTCATATTCACCATCATCATCTTCATCTTCATCTTCATCTTCATATTCATCATCTTCATCATCATCTTCATCTTCATCTTCATCTTCATCATCTTCATCTTCATCTTCATCTTCATCATCTTCATCTTCATCTTCATCATCTTCATCTTCATCTTGTTCTTCATCATGTTCTTTACCGCAATCATTTTCATCAGGATCATGTGATTCATCACTATGATGTGTCTTTTCCCAGGCCGTGTTGACTGTGCCAGAATTACCTCGGATCCCTTAGCATCACTTGTTCAAGAATATATAGCAGTCCACGGCCCAGGGCTCCGAAGATGTGGTAATTCAGCAAGAAATCCTCCCCAGTTTTCATGAATTGCTTCATGGTACGAGCTGTCCAACGTTGGAGGTTTACTCTTGGCTTCACGTTGGAGTCATAGTTTTTTTTGGAAATTTTGGCGTGCAAACGTTTGCTGATCTTCCCAGAATTGGACGAAGAGAACAGCACAACAGTAAACCCGAATTGGTTCGATCTCAAAATCCTGGGTTTCTACAGAAAATGTGCTTCAGATTCTAAAATGTATGTTTGATCGGTGTTTGCCAATTCTAAAATAAAAATCTTCTGTACAGTTATAGCCCAGCAAGTTTCTTCACTGGCTTATTTCAGTAACTGGCTTGTTTCATGACAATCATGACCAACTGCAGTTACCCTCTAGTAAACTAACATAACTACATAACTATGGAAAATAATATTTTTGTTTTTAATGGGTATAGCGACGGACAATCACTTTGAAAATCATTTGGAAAAAGTGCTTTTCTTTTACACTGAAAGCTATGTTTAAGAACATCCGAAAATCCCCACACTTAGAACATCCCAAGACATTACAACATATATATATATATAATGATCTATTGACATAACTATATTTATATGAACACAAATTATCTCTCAGCTGTGGAGACCCCCACGATTAGAATATTCCAAGACATTACAAGATATATATTTTCAGATGATCTATTGACATAACTCTATTTAGATGAACACACAGTTATCAATCAGCTGTGGTGAGACCCCCACACTTAGAAGATCCCGAGACTTCAAAAAAATATATATATGTAAAAAAACTGATCTATTGACATAGCCACAATTTTATGAACACAAAGTTATCAATCAGCTGTGAAGACCCCCACACTTAGAACATCCCAAGGCATTGCAACAAATAGACATTTAAAATGAACTATTGACAAAACTATATTTATATGAAGACAAAATTATCAATCAGCTGTGGAGACCCCCATACTTGGAACATCCCAAGACGTTACAACATATATGTATAAAGTTATCTATTGACATAACTATATTTAAATGAACACAGAATTATCAATCAGCTGTGGAGACCCCCACACTTAGAACATCCCAAGACATTACAAGATATATATATATATAGATCATTATAATGATCTATTGGCATAACTTTATTTATGTGAACACAAAGTTACCAATTCGCTGTGGACACCCCACACTTAGAAGATCCCAAGGCATTACAACATACTGGTTTATAGTTTTAAAATGATCTATTGACATAACCACATTTTTTTGAACACATAGTTATCAATTAGCTGTGGAGACCCCCACACTTAGAACACCCCAAGACATTACAACATATTTATTGACATAACTGCATTTATATGAACACAAAGTTATCAATCAGCTGTGGGGACCCCCACACTTAGAACATCCCAAGACATTACAACATATATATGTCTAAAGTGATCTTTTGACATTACCACATATTCATGAACACCAAGTTATCAATTAGCTGTGGAGACCCCCGCACTTAGAAGATCCCAAGACATTACAACACATATATGTATAAAATGATCTTTTGACATAACCACATGTTTATGAACACAAAGTTATCAACTAGCTGTGGGGACCCCCACACTTAGAACACCCCAAGACATTACAACATATATTGTTTAAAAGTTTTTTGTTATAACGGTATTTATATGAACACAAAGTTATCAATCAGCTGTGGAGACCCCCACACTTAGAAGATCCCAAGACATTACAACATATATATATATATGTATATAATGATCTATTGGCATAACCATATTTATATGAACACAAAATTATCAATCAGCCGGGGAGACCCCCACACTTAGAACATCCCGAGACATTACAACATATATATGTATAAAATGATCTATTGACATAACCACATTTTTATGAACACAAAGTTATCAATCAGCTGTGGGGACCCCCACACTTAGAACATCCCAAGGCATTACAATATAAATAGGTTTAATCTGATTTATTGACGTAACTGCATTTATATGAACACAAAGTTATCAATCAGCTGTGGGGACCCCCACACTTAGAACATCCCAAGACATTACAACATATATATGTCTAAAGTGATCTTTTGACATTACCACATATTCATGAACACCAAGTTATCAATTAGCTGTGGAGACCCCCGCACTTAGAAGATCCCAAGACATTACAACACATATATGTATAAAATGATCTTTTGACATAACCACATGTTTATGAACACAAAGTTATCAACTAGCTGTGGAGACTCCCACACTTAGAACATCCCAAGACATTACAACATATATATATATATGTATAAAATGATCTATTGACATAACGGTTTTTAAAATGAATTATGACAGAAAAATAAACTTTAACGATCTCTTGTTTGTGATGTTATGTGTGGGGAGCCCGGGTTAGCTGCAAGGAGCCTCACACTTTGAACATCCATCAACCTACATATAGGATGTTCTAACTGATTTTGCTCTGGATGTTCTAAGTGCGGGGGTCTCCGGATGTTCTAAGTGTGAGAGTCCAAAAAATTGGAAAATGATGTTCTAAGTGACCCGGCACTATAAATCAACTATATATTTCATTATATTTCTATGGCCATTTTCAATAGCTATGTTTGTTTACCAGAGGGTACATGAGTTACTATTACCATCCATTGTGACATCCCATTGGCCCAGGTGAACTACCGACACCTCGGAACGATGTGCGACGTCATGACCAATCGAGGGTGACATCTCGACCGTCGACGGTGTCGGTGAGATGATGGCCCTATGGCCTTATGGCCCTTTTAATATTTCTCAATTTTATAAATGGTATACATATATAGATATATAACACTTGTTTAATGTTTTTACAACTAAGGTTACATATCACTTCATTTTGAATGAGTTTAAACCATTTTTCAGCCAGTTGTTATCAATGGGTATATAATGGTATGTATATATAATTATATGTATGGTCCAGCGTTCCACCACCCCCGGCCATGGTCATGGGTCAGCCATAGTACTGTCCCCCTCCCCTCCCCTGTGGTGTGGTGGGGGTGTGGTATTGTCGGGGGAGGTTGGAACGCTGGACCATATATATATATATATATGTGTATATATATATATATTTATTTACATATATATACACACATATATATATAAATACATACATGTATATATGTATGTAGTAAATAGGAAGTAGACACATATGTATATATGACTAAAAGTAGCACGTAGGTACTTTGAGGGAGTATGTGTGCTACGTAGGTCGTCTAAAAGGTGGCATATACCTAGTAAATGCGAGGCTGGTAGTCAGAAATGCTGCAAAGACCTAGCAAATACGAGGCTGGACCTCAGAAATGCTGCCAATAGCTTGCAAATAGAAGGGAAGGGTGATGAAGGGGGGTGCTACCTGGGGACCCATACCATTGGGGGGTAGGAACATGGAACACGAGACCATATATATATATAAATTAAGGTTATATATATATATATACAAATATACATATATATATATATACATGTAATAGTTATATATATAACACTTATTCAATCTTAATACAACCAAGTTTATATACCACTTCATTTTAAATGAGTTTAAACCATTTTCCAGCCAGTTGTAGGGCCATCACGTTTGGATGCTATACGGGCGATTCTACATTAATGCAAGATGAATTGAATGGGGAGATGTTCTGGAAATCCTGATGTTTAAGGGTGAGAACAATGGTTTCCTGGAGATATTCCCTCAAATCATTCCAGGGATATTAGGGATACCAAGTCAAGTTGTTTGTTATGTTTGGAGTTTCAGATCATAGAATTGAACATTTTCGACATATCGTGACTTACTGTCGATCTACCTTTGGTAATATGCATATTTATGATTGAATGTATGTATATATATATAGACATACGCACACACGTGTATATTTTATGTACTTCTTTTTTGATAGATCCAGTTTGGGGTAATGACATACAATGACATGTAATGACGCATCATCCATATATTTCCGAACCGTATGCACCACAGCAAAAAGGACATTTATGATCATTTGAGCGGTGTTCAAAACCCCTGTTGGTTGATTATAGGGGATTGTACTACCCTTCATATATTGGGGATTAGAATAATCCAAGAACAGGGAATCCCTATAAACCAACCAGGATTAAATGGAATGATAGAGGGATTTTGAACACTGCTCATTTATGCAATGGAATAATATACAGTTTGCCTCCAACAATAGGTTTTTTTTTTGACCAGTAGCCTGTGAAATTGTCTTGTGAACCGACTGTTTGAACTGCTGGCAATTGAAGACTATCCTAATCTGATTGGATTAATTAAAAAATACTTTACTTCGTGTGATCCCCACCATGACATTTATACATTTTGTTACTGGCAAATCTTCTGGCATTCTATCTGACATATTTTCTGGCATTCGATCTGGCATTCTATCTGGCATATCTTCTGGCATTCTACCTGGCATATCTTCTGGCAGATGTTCTGGCATATCTTCTGGCAGATGTCTGGCATATCTTCTGGCATATGTTCTGGCATATCTTCTGGCATTCCATCTGGCATTCTATCTGGCATATCTTCTGGCATATTATCTGGCAAATCTTCTGGCATTCCATCTGGCATTCTATCTAGCATATCTTCTGGCATATTATCTGGCAAATCTGCTGGCATTCTATCTGGCAAACATTCTGGCACTTTATCTGGCATATCTTCTGGCATTCTAGCTGACATTCTATCTGGCATTCTATCTAACTTTCTATCTGGCATTCTTCTGGCATATCTTCCTACATCCGGCATATCTTGGCGTGGATACTCGCGGTTGAGGTCCGGCAGGGAACACTGGGCGTGGATGGTCGTGGTTGAGGTCCGGCAGGGAACACTGGGCGGGGATACTCGCGGTTGAGGTCCGGCAGGGAACACTGGGCGTGGATGGTCGTGGTTGAGGTCCGGCAGGGAACACTGGGCGGGGATCCCCGCGGTTGAGGTCCGGCAGGGAACACTGGCGGTGATGGTCGTGGTTGAGGTCCGGCAGGGCACACTGGGCGTGGATGGTCGCGGTTGAGGTCCGGCAGGGAGCAGGAGTAGAGGAGCAGGAGGAGAGGAGACGAGGAGAGGAGACGAGGAGAGAGGAGAGGAGGAGGAGGAGGACGAGGAGGAGGAGGAGGACGAGGAGGAAGCAACTGACATAAAATCTAACAACCCTCACCTGGCAGGTGGGGAAAAACTAATTTGATATTGTTGTTAAAAGGAACTGATTTGATTTATAAAACAACAATCACATCGGATTTGCTATCCACTTGTCAAGATCAGTTCCATTTGATAGTCCATAGCTCCATAGTTCTGATCGCGTCCCCCTTCCGTGCATCCCACGGAACTGTTTTGTACGAGATTGACCTAATAGTGATTTATGAAAAATATAAACATCTACCCTCTGGTTATTTAACATAGCCATGGAAAATCCCTAATAAATGGAGGTTTTAAATGAGAAAATCATCTATTTCTATGGGCCATTTTCCATGGCTATGTTAAATAACCAGAGGGTAGATGATATAAACTATACGTGTTATATGTATATGTGTATACCTGCATATATATATATATATAAACTATATACACATAATTGTGTGAATACATATGATTGCAAATTTTAAGTACGCACAGACACATGTAGGTCCAATGTTGAACCGGGTTGTGAACGATGTCCAGCTGGAAAGCCTGGGGCAGTGCGGCAGGCACATGATGGCCATCACTCGACATGGGGTGAATCGAACCAACATGGGTCCGCTGATGAAATGCGGGGACGCCAACAGTTGGGCTGACGGAGTGATGTGCGGATGACCTGACGGTCGGATGATGGGGACATGGATGGGATGGGATTGACCCATAAGTCGGCCCTGGTTGGCCGTAGATGGGTCACGTGCAGCTAGTGATTTGTTAGACTGAGGGATGGTGAACATCCAAACTTGTTTCTTATTCATACGTGATTAGATGGTGTTTCGAGAGATAGACATGACTTTGGCATGACTTTCTTGAAACAGCGATTGCATGCAGATCCACATGCAAGTTCTGATCCAGGCATGACTTAGGCCGTTTAACTGCATCCTCCAATAGAACCTGGCAAGATGATAGCAAGATGATATGGAACATCCACCATGAATGTAGATCATTTCCGAGCGACAAACAACAATGGTTTTCCATAGTTATGTCACTTATGTCTATATGTTACTGGAGGGTATGAGATTCAAGATGTTTTGGCCTGGCAAGGTGATGGTAGTGATATCAAATCTCTTGTGATGGACATTTATTAGTCAACCGGGAGCACAACAACCCCCCCCAAAAAAACAGAATTTGTACCGACATCTCAACGTTTGATAGTAGATCTACTGTTACTGTACCCCCCCAAAAAAAATAGAACTGCAATATTACCCATAGGATCCATGGTGCTTGTATATATGCTAACATTTGGGGTATATTGATGGTGATGTTACCATATATAGCATACATGGATCCTATGGGTTATGATATCAATTCATTTGATAATCTATAGTCCAAGATGTTCCTTTTCCACCTTTTTTGGGGTTGCTCGTTGCAGCGCCGCTGAGGCAGCTTCGAGGAGACCGTCGGGGGTCCTCAGAGAGTTCGGGTTGGTGGAACACGAACAATAGGCCTACTGCGCAATGAAATTTACTGGTTGGTGGTTTGGAACATTTTTTTATTTTCCCCAATAGTTGGGATGATGATCCAATCTGACTCATATTTTTCAGGGGGGTTGAAACCACCAACCAGACTAATATTATTGGGATATTGGGATGTTACACAAAGAATTGTCATAGCAGTCAGCTATTGTTACAGCAAAACTATTGGGATACTTTATATGTATATACGTATATATTAATTACAGTTGTTCCATATTAGTTGAGGTGGTTCCCTTTATATAATAGGCCGGGATAATGGCACCGTATCATGGCTATATGACTAATGATTTGCCATCAAAATGGATGCTGCTTCGCATTGAATGAAATTTGGAAGATCATGGAATGAAACGGGGAAGATCTCTTCATTTACCCGGTAGTTTAACATAGCTATGGTATCGATAGCTCATAGAAATATTAAAAAATACAATTTTAAATGGTGAGTTTCCATAGCAAACGGTTAAATTACCATAGCTAACTGGGTTTCATTTCATGGATATTATACTACCCATTTTTGGATGGGTACTATGGGATAATGTCGGTGAATGGACATTAATGCAAGGTAAACCCAATAGAAAACCATCCCCAATTTTTCAGAAGTGGTACTGTAAATAGCCTTCACAATTGGAGATATATGGCATTGTGTTTTCCACTTACATGTTTTTGTTTTAAAATTCAGCCTGTAGAAATGATATGTCACTAGTTTATGCCTCAACTTGTTTTCATGATTCAACGTTTTATGCCCCAATTTGTTTTCGTGGTTTATGGGTTTCAAACAGGTCAGCTGTGTGTGAGGGTGGCTGCGAAACGGCCGATCAAAATGGAGGTTTCTAGCTGGGAAATCATTGAACCAAGTGGGCAAGCTTTGTTCGAGTACCGGAGGGTAGTGTACATGTTCTCACGTGAAAATCACAAATGTTACGAATCGCAAGGGGACAATCATTCCAGGCTACCTGTGAATGAGATCATATAATCCCAGTCAACTCATGTTTTCACCCGCAAAGACCATCATCAGTAAACTGCAAAAAAAACACGGCGAATCTCTGCATGGCACACTGGCAGGTTGAAATCCTAATGGATGCAGCCATCTACAACGAGGTGCTGGTACTGTTGCTACCGCCTTGAAACTGCATATTTCCTGGCCATGCAGCAGAGCCAGAGGTTTCGGTTCTCCAGATATCACCTAACCCAACTCACAAGCAATGAGCATAATATATATATATATATATGAAAATGGGATAAAATGGGTAGTAAAGTGGCAATAGCCGCGAAGAAACCATGCTAACTTCCATCATCCCCAATGGGACCCCCTAGTCTTGGGTGAATGGGATGGTTGAAATGGCCCAGAATCATCGCGCTTATAACTAGGCTAACTATTAGGGTAACTATGGTTTATACGACATATAACTATAGTATTGATGGGTTTTAACATGTTTTAACTATACCAACAACCATTTCACCACAGGAACCCCCACCTTCTGCTGGGAACAGACCACCCAGCTTTTTCAGCGCGCCACAGACCGACCACATGCGCTCCGTCTCTGAGAACATCATCTTTGGACAACTGGTTCCCGTTCCTTGGACGCACCGCGGATGGGAGGGGGAAATCCCGCATTGCGGTGATGGAAAATGGGGAAAATCATCGAAGTCCATGGCGAAAATATGCTGGGATTTTTTCATATGATGTTCTATATAATGTCATGCTTGATTACAAGAGAGTAAATCATGATATTGTTGAATGTCACATCTGGTTTTATGGTAAATATAAGTCCTAAATCATCTTATAGTACATCATCCCATCATGTCATCAAATATATGATGTGGGATATGATGATGGGATGATTTAGGACTTAGGATTTGTATTGTTGCATGATTGTGACCAATCTTGGATGGACCCGAGGCTCAGGCTGCAAGGATCATAACTGTTTTGTACGAAAATCATCCCCTTCGTTGTTGGGAAATACCACGCTTTGCAACGGGATAAAACCTACCCTCAGGTAAACTAACATAACTATGGAAAATCACAATTTTGAATGGGTAAATCCACTATAAATGACCATTTTCAATAGCTATGTTACCAGAGGGTAAGTTTTTGATGTTGGAGACTGCGTTTGATGTCAAACTGCTGATTTTTTTTCCGAGCTCGCAACGAAATGAGGAGCCAAAGGATCCCCTGACTTTTTCCGTAGGCCACGGTTTCATAATTTCCAAATACCCAACAAATCCACAGACACATTCCATTGGCCAACAGCCTAAGATCGGGACTGGAAGTTTCGATGTTCACATGGACGACAAGACGGAGGTTCAAGCCGTTTCTTGGGGCTGCTGAAGCCCCGAAAAGCCTGAGGATTAAGTATCCCAGATTCTCCGTGGTGCTGGTACTGGTATTATTTACCTACAAAACTGTGTGATTTTTTTGGGCACATGTTGGTAAATACACCAGCACCATGGAGCATACGGGGTATGGTTTCCTGAAACCAAAAGGATGGTAGAAGTCAATAGAACTCATATTAAGCAACCCCTCACGTGCGATTTCCAAGCTGCACATCGACTTCGAAATGTTTATATGATGTTTATGTGTTTTACCGGGGAATTCATATTTCTCTGCCAACAATTTCACCAAAATCAACAAAGATTATAGGATTTGAGTCTGCTGGTTGTGAACGGCATTGAATGACCACGTTTCAGCTGTACTTCAGGTCGCCCCGCGTGAATTGAGGGGAAACCCCATCATTCAAACATGTAAATTGCCAATCAGCAAACTTATGATCACCCCAAGTTGTGTTGATCATAGCAGCAATTCTTTTGTCCCTTCTATCCCTAGCTGGTGAATTTCCTGATCACGAATTCGGTGCTCTGAATTGTCCTCCAACTTTCCCAATGCTCCAAAAGACCTAGATGCGGTTCAAACGCGGATAAATATGATATGGCTTTGGTGATGCCATCGGATCCATTCGTCCAGTTGCGAACACTTACCTTGGCTTCAAAGTCTAAGCGAATAGTGACAGGCAATCAACGGGTCTTTTCAACAATGAGCTAGCAATTTACACAATTTACACAATTTACACTATATATATATAAATATATATATATATACACCGCTGTTTTTACAATCCTTACCGAGAAAAATCAGCTAGTTTTTCTTTTACCAGAGAAAAATCTAAGTTTCCAGCGCTTTTCCACACAAAAAAGTCAGGTTTTCACTTGTTTTTTCTGTTTTTTCCATCGCTTTCCCAAAAAGTCTAGTTGTCCACAGTTTTCTCTAAGAATCCGGTTTTTCCATGGCTTTTCCATGGTTTTTCCATGGCTTTCCCCAACAAATGCCGTTGTCCCCCGTTGGGGTTTTCTGCAGCCGATCTCGATCTGTTCCGCGTCCGTTCCGCGAGGAGAACCCCGAGGCCCAGAGTGCGACGAGTGCGACGGGCTGTGCATTGGATCAGGCCACTGTGGTGCGGAAGCCCGAGATGGAGGGATTACAATAGATATTAGATATCATAGTGATATTACATAGATCATATTACGATATTATTGTATATATTATTATAATCACTGCTGGTAATCTAGTGATATATATATATATCTAGTTATTGTAGATATATTGCTATGTTAGATAATATATCTACAAGATATTCATATATATATCCTCTAGTTATTCAACATGGCCATGGAAAATGGTCCATTTATAGATGGTTTACCTATACAAAATGGTGATTTTCCATGGCTATGTTAGATAACCAGAGGGTATATATATATTATTATGGAGGGATTACTATCTAGAGATATCTGACAGATATTATAATCATGTAATATTATAATAATATTTTACGAATATTATAATAATATTTTACGATCTATGATGATATTAAGGTAACACATATAGACATTACATAGATAATATTGCATAGATATTTTGCAGATATTATTATAATCACTGGTTGGTTTCAAACATTTTTTATTTTCCATGATGTATGGGATAATCCTTCCCATTGACTAATATTTTTCAAGATGTTAAAAACCACCTACCAGTTATAATAGATATATTTAGTATTATATTTACAATAGATATTATATATATATTCATTATTATGGAGAGATTACTATCTAGAGATATCTAACAGTCACCGTCTGGTTGGTGGTTTGGAACATGAATTATATGTTTCCATATATTGGGAATAATCATTCCAACTGACTAATATTCTTCAGAGGGGTTGAAGCCACCAACCAGTTATAATCAGATATATCTAAGATAGTAATATTAAATGTAGATCTTAGTAATGTAATATCTATTGGAATATTGCTATATTTTGGATTACAGAATATTATAGATATTATATCTAGGGATATATCTTTAATACATATGTATTATTGTATTATAAAATACTATAGATATTACATCTATAATATATTTATATATATACATTGTAATTATTCAATATTACATTGTTATCTAAATATATTATTTGATATTACATATTTATCTAGATATACTATTGGATTTGTGAATATATAATATGTATATATCTGCAGATAGATTATCTTTGGTATTTGTTTTCAATATCATTAATATTTGCTGATACTATAATATATTGACATATATATATGTGAATATATTAATGATGTTACAATAATTAGAATATATCTATAGGTATTGTGATCTGATAGTGAATATATTAATGATATATATATAGTAAATGTGTACAATCAGATATATCTGTAGATAGTATATTATATCTAAGGTCTATATCTATTACTAATATATCTGACAGGTAGTATTATAATGTAATATATTTATTTGTAAGTGACTATATCTATAGGGATTACTAACAAATACAATACTGTAAAATATGTGTCACACATATGATATAGATATCTCTTATATAATAAAAATATGACTATCAATAGTATTTGTTAGCAATATATTCTTGCTAATATATGATTAGTGGAATATATCTATAGGGATTACAGTATTTGCTAGTAGTTAATTACTGATAGCAGATACTATAGATATTGTATATACTATGTGATTTCCATAGAAATTCGACAATTCGTATTGTTTTAGTATATATCATTATGTATCTATAGATATCTGATATCTGTCATGTATGTATATATATATATTATATGTTATATAAGTTTTTATATAACAATATTTCCAGTAACTAAAATAAACCCTGGCAGGGTTTGAAAAGCTAGTTTCCACTAAAGATTGGTGATTTGCAGGATCTATGTTAAGTTACCAGAGGGTAGTATCTGTTTTAGTATCTGACAAGATATTGGTAGATATCTGATTTCTATAAGTAGATACTATAGATATTATTACATATTGGCTAATGATATCAATTGAGATCTATTATATAATAGTACATATCTATGTATCATTATGTATCAAATACATACTATTTTCCCATTCGGCCCATTGCTGCGTCTCACACTACGGCACTGCAATATATACTATTAGATACATATAGTTATCTTTACAACATAAAATCAGTAATAGAGTAATATAGTATAGATAAATTCAGATAATACTAACTATAGATATATAACATGTATCGTAGATGGAGCATTACCCTATGTACATACTAACTATACCAACTGTTACATATGAGTATAACCTTACTGTATTAGTATTACAGATTAGTATAACTACCCAAATTAGTATATTAGTTTTCAGTTCTTACATTAACTTGATAGATATTGGATGCTACTACTAGTAATACATGTTAGTTCTATGTTTGTACTATATATTAATATCCATAGCTATCCAGTATCTTAATAGTATATTATATGATCAAGAAATGATTTGATAAATAATACACTGATACAATAATATACTGTGTGTGATCATCTAGACAGATTCATATACAATATTGCTGATATATCAATATATAAGATATAGATCAATCATATGATAATATGGGAATTGCAACACAACCATGCAATAACGATGTTTATAACATATGTAATAACAATAACACTATGTTATGCACTTTATTACATATGGCCATCATAAGACAACAATGGTAATTAACACAATTAGAAGCAACTGGGAGGCTAAGGATATATATGGCTGATATACGGGTTTGTCTGAAAATTCGAAAATAACATGGAATGTTCAGAGGGTTGTAATCTTTATTCCCATTTCAGTGAGGGTTCATGCTTTTTTGAAATGTCCACATTCTATATGGGTTTGTTTGAAAATAGGGTACCCCATGGTAATTCCAATGGATTATAAAGTTATAATTGTTATTCCCATTGACATAGGCAGGGGGGAGTGGTATCCCCATTTTCAGAAGGACCCAGGTATCATCCTTACGTAGATAGAATATGGAATTGTCAAAAATGGATCCATTTGGTGATTTTTTTTCGTTGAAATTCCACAGCTTACTCCATGACTATACAGTAGTTATAAATAGCTATAACCAAGTATACATGAATGAGATCCGCTGCAAGATCTACTACTGTTTTTGCATCTGCAGATTCTAACACATATATATTATATATATCCCTGTGGATCCAAGTATCTTCAGAGGAAGTATTTGGGGTGTAATTTTGGGGTCAAGTATTTGGAACCATATATACATATATGATACATACATATATATATATATATACAACACACCCCAACAGCTAGAAAAGTGAAACTCTACTATACAACTGATAGACCAAGATTCTTTGTTTTTGGAGGCAACTATGTATGCAATGCATGTATATTGGTATTAGCCAACCATTTTTTTGGTGTATATTTGGACCAATACCCATATATCGGTTTGAAATTTCAATATCTGAGAAGTGGCTACTTGACATTTGTGTTTATAATTGTAGGGGATTACACTACTATATATTGATGGTTATCAGAAGTCATTATGGGTTTATGTATATATATATATACACGCTAGATTGTATGATTATACACCTTGATATGCAATTGGGATTAGATGTTTGTATTGTTGTATGTATCTTATTTAGATTTGTGTTTATGCATATTTGTATTTATTGGTATCACTATATCTGTCTATTAGCACCTTATTGTTTCCCTGTGTTCGATGTTTGGAGCCTTTATTCCCCACAAAAGCACAGATTGACCGCGGTTCATTTTGGAGGATCGTACCATAGGGTAAACATACAAAAACATGTGGAAAATCCATGGTTTCCCACTTGGAAAATAGGGAACATGATCTGCAAATGCTAGGTTTTACTGGGTTTTCCACATCCTATGTTAGTTTACAGGAGGGTAATTCCTTCCCAGTTGGGTTTCGGCAGCGCACCTGAGCTCCCACTGTCGAGGTCCTTCCAAGGAAGATGAAAGGGCAAGAAGAGGCACAACATTTTTTGATGTTGGATTTACCGGAGATATACGAGGATGGCGAGGATGTTCTAGCATATACAGTATATATATAATAATAATATAATATATCATTTTGTTATATTATATGAAAATATATTATATCATATTATATTATGTTATATTATATCATATTATGTTATGTTATGTTTTACACTCAGATTTATATTTACATTTATAGTTATATTTTATTATTTCCTTTTTTGTTTTGTAATATTTGATGGAAGCAAGATCGTTGGAATTAGGTTTTCACGTGTTTTAGCAGCTATTATATTTCAGGTATATATATATATACACATGACGCCACTCCAAAATGTTGTTTTCTTTTCAAATTTCCGTGGCTTGATTTACCATCTGGTCATTGATGACAGTTTGCTATGGGAAATATCACCATTTTTTGAAACGACAAGCATCGAGCGAAGTATGGGCCATTTGTAGCGAAGGTTTTTTCAAGTTCTTGGGCCAACCTCTGAAGGGATTCACGTACTCCAGGATACTGCACATGAATCATAGACTTTGCCAAGGGAAAAGGTGGAATTTGTATGAAATTGTAAGGACCTCCAGTGATGAACCCCTTATTCCCCTACTCCCATACTAATCCCATAAGCCAGGGGCTCCCAATTCCATGGATTTGGTGCCAACGGATTCACAAAGCATGGGCATTGCCGTTAGTTAATGGAACACCCACCACGTTTTCCCATGGGGAAACCCGCCTTTCTTTTCACGAATGTGTTTTTTTGGGTATACCTTCTCCCAACCCGCGCAGATGTTTGCCGTGAATTCTCCTCTTCCCTACCAACTGGATGCTGTCTCTTTGCCGGCCGCGCTGGCCCAGCTGGTTGTGCCTTCGTAGGATCCGAGGTAAGGAATATGTCGTATGTACATCATATGTATACAGTATCATGTAATGTGGATAAAACAAAGTCATAAAACATCCCCCAAAATCACAATGTTTATGGGTGGTATACTGTATATAAACCATTCCCAGTCATGGGTGGTAAAAATGACATTGTTTTAAACACATTATATGTAAATAATTGTAAATTATACACATAAAAAACTGTGTATACACTATGCACATATATATATATATATACATATGTATGTATGTATATTATATTTTGGTTCATTGAACATTTAGGTATATGAAATCCATCTCTGTCATGGGTTGAAACCACCAGGATGTTCGGGGGTCTCTCGTCAGCTCATCTTCGGAAGTTCGAGAGAATCTAATGTGATTGTGGTGTTGTTATTAGTATTGTTGATTGTTTTCATAATGAAATAATACCATTATTATTATTATTGATTGATATGATAATTAAGTAATTATAATTAATAACAATGTGATGAATATAATTAAGAATCTAATGTGGTTGGTAAAACTAATCTAATGTCATATTGTTGCTTGTTACTATGATAAAATATTGTTATTCATATGATGACTGTTGATTACTTGTGTTATTATTCTTCTAAAAGGTTTATCATGATTATGACTAATCAGTATAATCAACATTATCAATGGCCGGTTGATTAATAAGCCGGTTGATTAATATTTTTATCATTGTTATTATCATGCTTCCATTATTATTCTGGTATATTATGGTTGTTATCATGGCTATTTGATTAAAATTACTATGGTTTGTGGTTGGCTGTTCCTCTTGCTTAACCGGCATCCGTTGTTCAGAGACGAACGGTGCACGTTTCGACGACTCGACGACTCGTTTTTTCTGAGGCGGACACGCCAAATGACGTCAGCTGGCCTCAGAGAGACTCCAAAAGGGAATTTGTTCATGATACCCTCTGGTAATTTAACGTAGCTATTGAAAATGGCCATTTATAGTGGATTTACCCGTTGAAAATGGTGATTTTCCATAGTTATGTTAGTTTACCAGAGGGTAATATGTGAATCGAGTGATACTAGTAGATGATAATGTTATGGAATAATAGTAGGTAAAAAAAATGAACATATATATATATGATTATACATTTATTACACATAATTTCATGAGGAATAGTATTATATACATAACTAGAAACCAAGTAAATTCAATGATATTGATTATATACTTGTATATAATAGAAGATAATAATATATGTACTATAACATATATATATATTATAGTTGATGGTGTTGAATATGGAACACTTGAAGATTTCAATAAAAGTAGAGTGTCTGGTCATTTCCATCACCAGTTCTGACCGAGCTGGTTGGGTCCAGATGACCATCTTCAGTATAAAGGGGGTTCATTGAAGGGGGCTCTTAAAATGACGGGATCCCCCCAAAAAACATAGGATTCAATACACTCAAATTGGTCATTTGGATGATTTTAGAGGTACCAAAACATTTTGTCGGAAACATTCATATCCCATCACTGGTTAAAGCCCCATGATTTTTTGCGTCAAAAAATCATTGCGAATTGACCTAGGATTGATGAGTGTGTCTTCTCGTCATTTAAAATAGTTTTGGAACATAGCCATTTATTTCGATGATTCATGATGTTTTACCGATCAATTATGATGATGTTCCAGTTCGCGAACTGTTCAATCACCAGAGGGTAAATATCATGCGTAATTATATATATATGGTAATTTAACATAGCTATTGAACATGGTTATTTCCTTCGTTGACGTTGCGAACTTTTTCCATGGCGATTTTCCAGTTAGGCTAATCTAATTTTTCCAAAACACCCAAAACACCATGGTCCCAATTGGAAATTCCCTACATCCACCATGGTTTCTACTAAACCCAGCCCTGAGTTTTTGAGGACATGGGGACATGGGCTGCTGAGGACACCTTGGCGGATTTGGTTCCCAGCACCGCAGGGACCTTTCAGGGGATTCAGTCCGTGGAGGCCGAACAACAGATGTCTGCTGCTGCCAGTATTACCCTCTGGTAATGGTAATTTAACATGGAAAAAACCATGGAAAATCGGTCAGTCTATGGAACATCTATGGACAATCAATCATAGCTATGGAAAGATCCACCATAGCTAATAGCTGGGTAAATCAACTATTTCTATGGACCATGGCTTCAAGTTCGCAAACTGTTAGTTTACCAGAGGGTTTTTTTGTTCTGTTTCAGTCCTTGAGAAGAGGTGCGGACAAAGAGTTCTCCTACTTCAAAGTTCGGCTTTTGGTCACTTGTACAACCAGTGTTCCATCTCAAAATAAACCCAAAAGCGAAGACATGCGAGGACAGATACCAAAGTGACCAGCAAAAAAGATGGGCAAGGGCTAAAATTACACTTAAAGCCTTTTACCAGTTATAAATGGTTATAAATGGTTTGAAATGGGGCTATCATTCCATGTTTATGGGGTTATTTCACTGACTTCTAACGGGTAAAGGGCCATATCTGGCCTCCTTTGCTGGTCCCTCGCAGATCTCGCCGGATGAATCATCTCCAATGATGCGGCAAGGCAGGAGATCTAACGGGGCAGAAAGAGGAGAACAGATCACAGACTTTGAGGATGTTTGAGAATAGATTAGATAGACATATGTGTTTAAATGAATATAAATATGTTTTTTTTACTTTGGATGTTGGCTATTTGGGTGAATCAACTCAGTGATGTTCGCCAACAAAAATAGGATTTCACCAGTTGAGACGGATCGATTGCGAAGTGGATACTCCCACTGGCTTATGGTTGGTGAATGGATATTCCTGTGACATGTTTTTCAGCCATGAAAATGACAGTTGCTGGCGGTGTCAACTAATTCACTACAGTTGTTATGTATTTCCATCCACTAGACCCTCCAAGTACCCATGATAAAGGTACGTGTCCCAAAATGATGGGAAAGTTACCCCATGTTTTCTCGCGGTGGAGGGCCTAGGCATGCTGATCCCTAGGGGCTTCAGGCTTCTCAGGTTGGTTCAACCCCAGCGATCAGAACAGATGCAGCCGCCAGGCAACTTTGAAACGCCCCGAACCATTGTTGGGAAGCCCAGTACAGAACTGTGGTAACTGACCAGTGGCACTGGTTAATGTTTTGGGATGGTAGATGGTGGGTACATGTGGGTACTTAAGTAGTCTTAAGTACTTCAAATTGCTAACATATCTCAAACCATCATGTTTGTTGGTTAGCGGCTAGCACAGTTTTGTTGGCTGCTTGCAAAACTAGATTTTCGGGAAAGATCCAATTTGTTGGCATCCAATGTCGATCTTCAGAACTGATTTCTTGGGATAGTTGATCCAAGTCACAAGTTTCTCCAGATTGTGTGCGGTTGCACCCTAGGTACTGAAAAAAAACGACGATTTCTCGGTAGTTTTTGATCAGACACACATCATTTTGCTGATTTCCAGGTTTTCGGCACAGCAATCACCCTGTGTGAAGTCCCTTTTTTTTTGATGGTACCAGCTGACCTTTTTGCTTTTCCCAACTGTAGGAGTTGTGTCGATGTAAATTGTACATACCATCTGGTTATGACTAACATAGCCATGGAAAGATCCACCATTTTTAAGCTCGCTAAACCATTTATTTCTATGGGCCATCTATACCATGGCTATGTTAGTCATAACCAGAGGGTATTGGATCTGTTCACTTTGGGATTCGTTAATAGGATACTGCCACTGCCTGTAGATCTCGATAAAAGTCATGGGGTTCCCAGGGAAGGACGCCGGCGTCGCAGCCCGCGTGCCCTCTGCTTTTTTGGGATGGAGTAACCTGGTGGGACCGGAAAAAAATGGCGGTTTCCATACATGGGGGTACCCCAAAATATCTGGTTTACCATCTGGTTATTTAACATAGCCATGGACAATCCCTCATAAATGGAGGTTTATAGCTGGGAAAATCGTCTATAAATGGGCAATTTTCCATGGCCATGTTAAATGACCAGAGGGTATAAGGGAAAATCCCAATCTAATTAAAATGGATGAAATGGGGGTCGCCCTAATTTAGGAAACCCGCATATACTTTTTGCATACATTGAGGAACATGCTATTTTGCCAACATTTAGTTGGTTCAGAGCCTGGGGTTCTGAGGGTTGTTCATGATGTGAAACAGTTGCAGCATGTTACAGTTGTACTTAAATGGAGGAAATCCTAGTACTTATCCGTGTACGTCTCGACTGATGGGGTAGGGAATTCGGAGAACCTGCTAGCCCCCAAATCCACAAAAGCCCACCAACACTTGACCTGGCTGTTTGCAACATAACTGATCTTGATAGTTCCATACGAACTATCTATATTGTTTGTATCTATATATATATCTGTATCATTCTGTATCTATATCTCTATATGTAAACATTGTAATCATTATATTCTACTGTATCTATATCCCTATCTATATCCCTATCTATAATTAACCATTGTAATTATGTATACCAGTATAAACTTTATGTCTGGATGTATGAGAATCTACTGCTGGTAGCTGCTGGTAGCTTTGAACATCCCATGGCCATGGAATCGCCAAGATCGCCATGGAATCGCTGTAACATCGGGACACCAATAAGCGACATAAGTGGGGATTGGAACATTATAGGAATCAGGAAAACATGACATGTGCCATGTATTCTCACTTTAAAAAACACATAATATAAATATGTATATATATATATATCTCTCTCTCTGTGTATATATATATATATTTGTACTATAGATGTATCCTATCCAATCTTTGAGGTGGCACTGAAAATGGAAACCTCGGCCACCCCCCAAAAATATGAGGAACACAACGGAACACATGACATCCGCAGCTCGGGGCCCAAAACGCCGCACTCACATCACACGCTATCAGCGAGACGTGCCTTCTTTGCCGCACCTGGGCCGCACGATGGAGCCACAGGGTGTCTGAAAAACGGTGTGTCCCTGTGTAATTGAAGAGCTACAAGGGTGAGGCCACCCTCAGTGATGTGTGTTGGTTTATACATGTTTCTAAATGTTCATGAATGTTTCTAAATGTTTCTAAATATCCATAAATGGTCATGAATGTGTATAAATGTATATAGTTATTTATATATATATATATATTAATGTTTATAATTGTTTGCAAATGTTCATAAATGGTTTTAAATGCGTGTAAATGTTTATAAATGTGTTTTAATGTTCATACATGTTCATAAATATGTTTAAATGTTTATAATTTTCATACATGTTCATACATGTGTCTAAATGTTTACAAACCCATTAGTTTTGTTATATCATGTTATATCCTCCTAATGAACCCAAATTTTACGTTAATCAAATTATAAGTCAACTTAGCTACGCTTCCGAGCCCACAGCTTGTATGTAATATGGAAGATGATCGTTTTAAATGTGGGGTCCCCAAAAAACATACGGTTGTAATACTAAAATGGTCTCAAAACTTGGATGAATTGGGGATACCCCCCTTGACTTAGGAAACCTCAAAGCAAGTGATTCTTGGAAATTCCCCAATTCCCAGTATAGTTCATTTATATATTTCAGCATATTTCCTATAGATTTCTCATGATTTCTCCATCGTCTTCCTTTCAATGGGGGAAGAACTTCAGCCACTGAGGCCTTCACCATGGCTGCAAATCTGGTACCTTGGACGAATCAAAGCGCGGCATAGACGGGTCATGACGGCCCCAGGAAAGGAGAGGTGGAGTTACCGACAATATGTCGATTATATATATATATATATACGTAAATAATAATAATAACAATTATCATTATGATATATATATATATATATCCATAATTATACATATTGGTTTATGTATATATATATATATATATATTTTTTTTTTTTTAATACGGGTAATATGTGAGTAATATATATATACACATATTTGGATTAGTTGTGTTTTAACCATCAACAAATGTGAATTTGAAGGAGTCCATGTGAATCCATTTGGATGAGTCATCATATGCCACCACAAATCATGCGAGCTTGGTTATGTTTTATGAGGCTTGATATTCAAAATGGCTTCACCAGGAATTATTTTGAATTGAATTGCTTTACTGGAAAAACATAACTATGACATAAGCCATTTTGAATTACTTTACTCATTGAGACCTCTTGAATTTCTGGAGATCGGAGATTGTGGATGACCTGAGGTGGTTCCCTCCGATATCACCGTGGTCGAGGAGAAGAAGACCGTTGGCAAGTAACCCGGTGGCATATCTTGGACGAAGGCTGCGAAAAACCATAGTTTTGATAGGGGATTGGGCGATTTGGAATCTAGGGTATGACCATTGTTTTTTTGGGACGTTAATCCTGGAAACTTAAAATTTGGTCACGTTGCTATTGACAGACCTCTCATCACTGGTGACCTCACATCGTGACCGAACCCTGGAATCATGGTCAGGATATTGGAGACATCATCTCAAGCCAGAGCCGTAGCCGCTTAGCCGAGAAAACATTAAGTGAGTGAATTAAAATATCATCTGCACAGATATAATCATAATCATATATATATAATCTACCCAGATATAATCATATATATATATATATGTATTTACAATCATATATATATATATTTACAATCATATACATATATATATATATATAATCTACCCAGATATAATCATATATATATATAATCATATATATATAATATATTCAACCCAGATAGTTTTGTTTATATTTAATCATATTTATGATCATATATATATAATCATATTTATAATCATACGCGTATACTGTGTCCATTTACGTAGTCAAATGATCCCACGGCGGTTTCTGACACCATTTAAGGGAACGGTTCTGCGTCTATCCGGTGTACCCAGTCAATATATAATACATAATATATATATATATAATATAGTATAATATTTAATTTATTTTTTATATAATATAAAATATATAATATATTTTTTTTAATATATAATATATTCTTTAATATATAATAGAATTCATAATATAGAATGTTTAATGTATAATATATAATATATAATATATAAAACTATAATATAATATAATATAATATAATACAATATTATATAATATAATATACTATAATATAATATAATATAATAAAATATAATATACAATATATATATATATATACATATACATAGATATTATGACCATTATTAAGCAATGGTTTGGTTTGTTTGTATCATCCCCAATATAGGATGGGAATATGGAGAATATTAGGGGGATTCCATGTCGGGTTATCAGAAACCATAATACATTGCAATAGATTATAC